GTTGCCTACAATTGTCGACATTTATATTTGTTGAATGTTGATGGATAGTTGTCTCTTTGGTTCGATGTTATGACTGCTAATGTAACTGATAAATGCATGATAGGGACAGGGAATCCTGATCATCAAAACGACTGTTCAATTTCTTTTACTACATCATGTACATATAGAAATGAAAAAAAAAAACACAAACTGATAATTATTACTGATATCAAATGTAGGAATGTCTACAAAAGTGTGTACTACCTTATTTGGATACTTCAAATGTTCGTCGGAAAGTTGATCTTTAAATCAAATCTACATGACGAAGCTTATATATTGGTCATGATTATTGTTTAACATACAATTGTCACAGTAACATTATCTAAAAGCAAAATTATTGCAATCGGGGCATTTTTTCTAGTATACTACCTTTTACAGAAAATAATATTTTATATGTTTCAGGTGATTTATATTTTCTTGGAGGATACAAGTTTGGCGACGGTATGAGATGGATAAGTACTCCAAGTCAATCATGGACATTTACAGATATGGGACTCGGTGAACCAAGCCATACTAATGAAATGTGTCTTGGATCCTTTGCGCCGATAGGTTTTCAATGGGGCGATGTGCCATGTGACTGGTTGAAATCTTATATTTGCGAGTTTTCGGATTAGGATACATTGCATTGTTAACACAATACACATTTGATTATCAATTAGAAATTGGTTCTGTCTGTACATTCTGTCGCATAATATTAGATAAACTGAGTGTGTGGTTTTATTCATATTTTGATCAATCATTGTCATATTGTTTTGCTCTGTCAAGAGATAGTACCAAGCGTAATTACAATTCCAAGTATGTAGATTGAATGCATATTTTCGGGTATTTTAGCCACACACAGAACCCTTTTTATTTATGTTTTGTCTTGCTTCATGTGCATTCTATTGACTACGAGTAAAACAATAAACGTAGAAATGCACCAGATTATGTCTGAGTTGTGTCTCTTTGTGTGATGACCATCACAATGATAAAAACGTAAATCATAATAAAGAAAAATCACAAACATTTCCGTCCTCACACCAACGTCTGGCCTTAAGACATTTTAACAAAACACAAACACGAACTTTTGCTTGTTAATATCCAAGTATACATGCTCAACTCGAAAACAAATTCTATTTTCACTAACATTGGAAAACTCTGAAGTGTAATATTAAGATAACAGATATTGGAAACACTTATCATTATTGTACATTCGAGTCAGAATCGAACGACAATATGTTGGTACATATGAGGTTCTTGATGAATAATCAGTCATTTTATGATATGGTATTGTCCATGATTGTGTTGTACATCTCTGGAAAAAAAACAACTTCATTTTTAACTAAATTTTTATTGATTTAAATTCAAGCTTTAAGTATTTAGCTCTTTTGAGATGTATACGTTTCCTTGCGTTCAGTTTATATTGTTTTTGTTCAAAAATTGTTCATTTCATTATAAAACAATACGTTTTTTAACTAAAATATATAGATCCACAAATTAGGGAGTAGGATCTTTGAATGAAAAATCGGACATATGCATAACTGTATTGGTAGATCTTAAAACACAAACATATGAGGTGTATTAAAAGGAACTTTTAAGACAGACAGAAAACGCCGAGCAGAAATCATTTGATTATTTAAATACATATACGTTTTATTTAATAGCAAAACAAACGATGTCGATATAAACTCTTAACACAAAATCGGTACACACAGAGTATTAAACTCGCCCAAAGCAAAGGAATAGCGATTTAGTTGCTGTTCCCCTTCTTAAAGTCACAGTAAGGGTTTTGATACGGATCAGCAAATGTATGAAATTGAAATATAACTGTTTTTAGTATGTTTTATTAAATGTCGTTTTAATATTTATATTCAATGATGTCATGCTGTTTTGTTTATTATCTTTCATTATTTCCTTTTTATTTAATTTTTGATGATTTTGTCGAATTTCATTACAATTTGTGTTTTACTTAATGTAAATGATCTTTCTGACATTTTCAGTCAGGTGTCTTCCTTTATAAAATATAACACGGAAGGTAAATTACATAAGTTTATATTATAGTTCATTTATGGAATCTCTCATAACATTTATTGCATGCTTAATTGCTTCGACAAAAAATAATTTAGAATTGTATTTCAGCACACAAAAATCACGTGACTAATACTTATGCTCCTTTTTCAAATAAAACGGTTTATAACTGAAATGAGCAATACAAGTATATACCGTATCTGTTCAAAGTAATTAAAACTTAGTTGTGTTCCAACACGCTATAGAGATTTAACATTGTACTACGGAAACAATGTCATCTTTACAAAATTCAAGATTATATTAAATATGAAGAAAAAGGGTTATCATGGAAGACACTAAATGGACTGCTTCGTAATTGCAATAAAAATAGACAATTCAAATAGCCTTGGTGATGTTATAAAGGGTTTATTTTCTATTGGTTGATAAAAGTGGCTCCTGGTAACACTTGGCTGATCCAGACAATCAGCTTCAAAATGACATTTCAATAACAATATTCTTGATTTTTTGACTAAACATTTTCAGTCATAAGAACATATATACATATAGGTTGCATTTCTGTAAATTTAGACAATGTAATTTTCTATAGAATGTCCTCTTACGGCTAAAATTGTACCACTTGTACTATGAAGTTTCGAAAAACGTTATATCATAGAATATTAAGCTCATATACACTACTAAATTTCAAAGGTCAAAATGTAGGGCTGATCGGCATATTTTCAACATTATTATGCCACAAACCTGTAAGAGTTTAAAAGTAGACTACAATTCTGTACTACACATACCTTCACATTAAGTCTTTCTCGGAATTAGATTGAAACGCTTTTTATGTTTATTTATACTGGTAACATTCCCAAGTTATGTCTCTATGTACTAAAAAATAGAGATCATATATGGAAACCAGTACGTAAACAAAACACAATATCTAAGAATATTAATTCTCCCACAAAGAGGCGTGGTATTCAAAACTAATTAAGTATAATATATTATAGATGTGCTATCAAGTTTACAATTGTACAATATAAATAAAAACTAATTGCGAAAAGTAAGGTACCGGAAACAATAACTGAGTAGGACATGAACGGACTACACCATCTTGCAGCACCTGGCAACAAAGACGAAACAGTATTGGATACCTGACAATAGATAAAGGATCGTATATGTTTTTCATCTTTTAGACTTATTCATACCCGAAAAAAACGATGCAAATGAAAATAAAAACAATAACTTGAACAGATACGAGAAATGGTGTGAGCAGCAACCCTCTATCAAGGAAATCATGATAAGAAATACAAGCCCGGGAATATCGTATCAATTGGGAGATATATACTGCGTTTGCAGGCGCTGCTGGAATGTTGCTACATAGAAATAGAAAAATCACAATTGGGAAGCTGAAATCATCTCTTTTGTCGTAAAGGTTTGTTTTCAACCGACCCTCATTGTCAATTCCGAGATGTTAGTCAAGATATGAGGCAGACTTAACTGTATCTGTTGTATCCGTTATCTCTAGTTCGATGGGATGGATGCGTTCAACATAGTCACCAAATTTAGAATTATTTAGTGAGAGAACATCATCTATATAGCGGAAAGTAAAGTTAAAGGATATTGCTAACTTCTTATCTTTCTTCCTTAGACGTTCCTGTATGAAGCCAGCCTCATATTAATACGTCGGCAAGAAGAGAGACACAATTCGTTCCCATTGGAATACTGACAGTCTGTTGAAAAACACGTCCTTAAAACGTAACAAATATGTTGTCAATCAACATGATCAATATATTAGGCTATATCTATACTGAATGATTTTGCCTTGCAAATAGCGACCATCGACAACCACATGTTACAAAGTGATTAGAAAGAAACATAAATCACGAGGCAGCGTATAAGAAATTCGTGCAACATAAAAAAAAACACAAAAAATACATACTGTAAAAATCAGTTGGTGAAGGATTGAATTATTGGTTTGGTATCATAAATCAAATAAAAAGCAAACAATATACACAAAGTGCCGATCTGTTAGAAATTGGGTTTAATGAACAGAAGTCAAAATCCCAATAGCTACAATTAAAAAGACATAATTAAATATCTTCACCGAATTTTTTGGTTAAGATGGCAAAATCAATTGAATAAAATCCTGATGAAAGTCATGTTTAAAATTACGTAATTTGAATGCTTTAATGTTTATATATGAAACGGCAGAAAAAGGTAATTTTTGATTATCATTTGCTCCCATTTTTTTTTAAGGTGAAATATGTTTCTTTTGTGAATTCAATAAGTACCATTGACAAAGCAACGAGATCAAGTTTTTATCAAATTATCCAAGATAAGCGAAAGGGACCCTGCAAAGTGCGTTGAACCTCACCACACTTTGTTATTTGAATGTTAAATGTCAGCAGCCTGTTGTTAGGTGGTTGTCATATTTGTTTACTGTTAACTATCTATACGTGTAAGCTTAAATTAGGCCATTTGCTTTTTCGTTTAAAATAGTTTTAAATTGTTCATGCCTTGACTTTAATATCTTATTTACTTAAGAGTTAACTTTTTTTTCATTGTTGAAATAATAGTTTCCCAGCAGTTTTTTAAAGCCACATCATTTGTTGTTTTTTTTTTTGTTTTTTTTTTTTTGCATAGTAGTCTAATTGACAATTATACCCAATTTCCCTTTGTTTACATTAGTTGTTAGAAAATTTTACTAAGTTTACTTAATAATGACTCAGCTGGATTAATGCATGCAAAACACATTTCACATCGATAATAATCATGTTCCCCATCAATGAATTACACTGGCTCATTAAATTAATTTTGTACAAAATTATTCTAACCATAAAAAAAGTCATAGAAAGTATGACAGAAACTGTATCTTTTAAATGTTTACATACAGTCGAATACACATGTTATGTAATATTCATGTCTGCTCACTCGAGCGTTCTTTATATTGAAATTGTAAACAACAATTTTGAACGATAAAAGTAAGATATATATTATTTTTCATTTCATGTGTTCAACAAAAGTTAAAATACCAGTTGAATAATACATTTCCGACCTAAGGTAATTTTATATTATATTGTATTGTATCTTTTTATCATGTTTATATCATTATATTTTTATTTCTAAAATACTGTTAAAATACTGTTAATTCAGAAGTTATTGCTATGATTTAAATTATATGAAACAAGCAACAGTATGATGTTCGCAAGAATAAAACTCAAATCAATCTTCTCAATAGTAATTTTCTTCATACTTTTTTTTTTTTAAATTGCAAAACTAATATATCGAGGTTTTGCCTGTAATCAGTGCTTCGCAATAAACCATGCAAAGTCAAATGCCTGTACCAAGTCAGGAATATGACAGTTGTTTTTCATTCGTTTGATGTGTTTGATCATTTGAATTTGCTATTTGATTAGGGACTTTCCGTTTTGAATTTTCCTTAGAGTTCGGTATTTTTGTGATTTTACTTCTCAGTGGTTGGAGGCGCTTTGTTGTCCCTTGTTATAAAGATACTAAGTGCAGGTATGTAACACACACATGTTACTATATACATATATATATATATAGTATAGTAACAAGTCGCAATTGAAAACAACGTTCAAACCTATGATTGCGTTAGATAAAAACCGCAATTTTTATACGTGTGCATGTAAAACAAATTTCTTGATAGAGGGGTCTAAATACAGCACAAACAACATTTTGCCATCTTAACAAATGTTGTTTGTGCTGTATTTAGACCCCTATATAGTATAGAAATATACTATTATATTGCTAATGTAAAACATGTTAATTATAATTATACTAAGGTGTGTGATACATTATTCTGTCGCTGTGGTGTTTATGAGCAAAATAGTCATTGTTTTCTTAAATGTCTCTTGGTTATATTGCTTCCCGTTTATTCATATATTTCATTTTTCAATCGTTTATGAGTGTAATTTCATAAATGAACATTTTATGTTTTCAACGGTTTTACTTTGAAGATGTTGTTAATAAGAATTGGCAATACAATTTTTGATTCTGCAAAGTCATTCCGCAGAATAGAAGCATAGGGGAAATACTGGTAAGTGTTATTCCAGTTCCTTTAATGAAAGTGTTAAGACTACATCTGTGTAAAATGAATGATATGGGAAAGATAAGAATTAATTATCTAGCAGGATTAAAATGTTCGACAAAAAGAATTAAAATGTAAATTGCAAGTTGAAGTTTGATCCGATTAACTTTATTTAATACAAAGACAGTTTGATGATGATGTGATATTTATTTGCATCACTTATGATCAAGCTTTAAAAAAATGACTTATAATATAAATAAAAAAGAAAAACATGTGATACGACTAAAAAAATTAGAAAATCCTTATGGTAAAAAGAGACACAAGTATAAACTGCAAATGTCGTTTACGTTTTTGAGAGGTAAAAAGTTAATTAAACAAAATTTAAAATTTTCAGTACAGGATAACATTGTTTGACGATTGATTCTAGGAGAATAATCTAAATAAAATATAAGACTAACGTCAAAGAAATGGGTAAACGATATGTAAATTCCACAATCCTCATAGAAAACGATTGATCTTGCACAAACTGTACATCTACCACACATTGGTTTACATGCACTGTTAGTTTATTCCTTCTTTAAAATTATCGACCACAGTTTTTCGAATAGAATCTTTACTTTGTTACGTCATAAATCACCTTGGATTTCACATACTAGGTACTTATTGATGGTGTTGTTAGTTTTTCACGTCTTAGTTTACATTAAACCAACATAGAAGAATTCCAATGATTATTTATTCATTAATCAATATTTTTGTACATTTGTCATAAAAACAACTTTATAGGAAATCTTAGATTTCGAAAAGTGTTCATGTTTTAAAAGTAAACGACAAAACAAAGATTTTTTTTAGATTGATTTTCTTACGAAAACAATATGCTTTCACAAAAGAGATCAGACAATCCTTACTAACATACTAACATGATAATATTGAAATAAAAGCGTGGAAAGCACTATTATACAAACTTGTTATTAAAAGTAATCTTATTAATGTTGTTATAAAATCTTTGAATATTGTTTACATTGGCACAACTATCAATTTTGTAATCAACAAATTAAAACATAACTAAATTTTGTATTTTATTCAAATTTTATTTTTATGTATAAATACACATCCACATTTATTTTCTATATAGAGAATGCTTTAGTTGTATACGACATCATACATATTGATTAACTACCCTATATCCTCCGAAATTTTTTTTTTATCATTGCACAAGTCATGTCTTCTTTGACTATCCATGGCGTTAAAACCCTCAATATCTGGGATGTGTTTTGTTTTCCCCAGTTCTTAGCCAAGTACCTGTTGTTCAGTGGTTGTCGTTTGTTAATGTTGTTCATAATTGTATCTCGTTTCTCGTTTTTTTTATATATATTAGACGTTTGATTTTTCTGTTTGAATAGGTTTTGCAATAGTCATGTTGGTGCCCTTTATAGCTTGCTGTTTCGGTGTGAGCCACGACTCTGTGCTGAAGGCCGTACTTTAACCTATAATGATTTTCCTTTTCACTAATTGTGACTTGGATGAAGGGTTGTCTCATTGACACTCATACCTCATCTTCTTATATCTAATATATAATGCAGTGACTTATTTAGGCAATAGACAAATGAAGGTAACAAACAAAATCCGAGGGAATCCCGAGAACTTCAACAAGGAACTTGATCGATTGCATCAACAGAGTGAGCGTCTCCTGCTCTGCTTTCGTCGACATTTATGCGAATTCAGACTCAATCAAAGTGTGTCAATCAGTAAGATTACATATCAGATGACTATACTGTTACATCTAAAGATCTTTGACAGATCAGATCAAGTTGTTAAAGGATTGAAAATGCCACAACGTTTCTGGCAAACAAGCCGTTATTATAATTAGTAAAAACTGGTAAGTTATATACCTGACAAAGGGAAGACTTCGTATCGTATGTTTTTTTCCGTCTGTTTATCATTATAGAAAATCGTCATTTTACAATTTGTATCTTTCAAACAGGTTTGGATAATTTAGTTTTTTCGTTTACTTATTGCTTCGAACCAAAATGTTTTTCAGTGCAGAACCCTGAACTGAAAACGCAAAAGAAACAAAACAAAATCGTGTATCATATTTCCATGACTTTATAGTTGTGAATTTTATTTTTCATCATAACATTTACTCATGTAAATCAAATGTATCCTTTTAATATTCATTTTTTTCCTACAGCTGCTTAATACGGATGTACAAATAATCACACGTTTTTTTATCTATTTTACTATTTCATCTATTGCTATGCAACTGTACTTTTTATGAGAATCAAAGTAATCTATTCCTTAGATTACCCTTGTTTATGCTACTTTTCTCTTCATTTATACATTTTATTTTTCATTTGATTCGCATGCACTTTGCCAATAAATGTAAATGCAAAAACATGATAAATGAACAGTGTAAAAGTTTTCATGGTATAAATATAAATTGATAGTACAATATTTGATTCTACGCATAAATTTCTAGCCACTCGAATTCGAAGTAGTTTACAGCTGGTTATTGTATGTACGCTTCCAATTCCTTAGTGGAAGTGTAAAATTAAAATAAAATGAAAAGATAAACTGGTTTATTGGGAGTACGATGCTTTATCAAATGGATTATATTGAAAGTACAAACTTGAAGGCAAAGTTCGAATCATATATTAAGCATCGTTTTTGTCATGCAATTCGAAACCTTAGCGTAAAGAGTTGAAAAAAGGAGGATACACAATAATAAGGGTGCACACGCATGATAATAAAATTCTACTTTCCAACATTTTCATTTCTTCAATGTTTTCTTTCTTTTTGATTTGAATGTAATGGTCTGCACTGGAATGCATTTTTTACGATATAAAAATTCTCACATTAGATCGCTTATACTTGATTTCGAGATACCATTATATAATAACGATCTTGTATTGGGAATATAAACGAGAGAAACAAAAAGACATTTGATACGATGTCATTTTTCCGTTCTATATACATTGACTTGTTAGTAAGAATTCTTAAAAGGAGGAATGGTATCCATGTCTACAAATGTACAAACAGTTTCCCTTTTTTCATGGTTTTACTTGTTATCACACTCTAAAGCAAAAGATATATAAGCATAAATGTTAAACCGTGATGACCGGTAAACATTTTTGAGCTTTACAATGTACACATAACTATAAATTAATAAATTATAACAAATGGGATTAAATATAGAAAAAAGGAATCCATTCACATATGTCAGCAATCTAAGATCAGTTTTGACGTTTCTTGTAAGATATATATGCATTCCACATGAAAAAAATAAAAAAAAAAAAAATACCAGACATACTAGACTCCATCTGACCTTAGGATAGTTTACTACTATTCGATTTACACCAGCAATGTTTTTATCGTAATTCTGGACTACTTATAGTATTTTTAGGGAAACATGAAAAAAGATAATAAAGAAACAAATATCAAGGATGCGGAGATCAATTCTTATGATGGAGAAGATACGGATGTTGAGAAAAAAGAAAAAGAAAAGGATAACAATGTATATCATGGTTGGGCTTGGGTAGTTGTTGCAGGTATGACTGACATATTTTTATCACAACACGTTAGTATGACTATTGCAGCATATTTGTGTTTGAATTATATAACAGGTCAAATACATCAAAACTCGAACCAATAAAAAATAATCACGTCAAAGTGTCATGCTAAAAATGTGTTTGATAGTAAGTTAATAATTAACTTGAAGAAATATGAAAATTTGAAACCATTCAATATTATACTAATTTTTATCTATAAAAATCATGATAGGTGTATTTCCCATTTATTTGCAATGCTGTAAAAATACATTCGTGTATAAGGACAAAAATGAGAAAGTTAACTGCCACGTCTACTCTGTGTTTTTGTTTGGTGTATTTCTATATGAGTCACTCTGATGAGTTAAGCCTTTTTCAACTGATTTTTATAGTTCGTTCTTATGTCGTACTGTTACACCACTGTCCCAGGTTAGGGGGAAGGTTGGGATCCTGCTAACATTTTTAACCCCGCCACATTCTGTATGATTGTGCCTGTCCCAAGTCAGGAGCCTGTAATTCACTGGTTGTTGTTTGTTAAAGTGTTACATATTTGTTTTACCCGTAGATTTTGAATTATTTTCAGTCGTGGAAACAGCTTTTGTGGACATTGTCTGCATATGCGTTGCTTTGAATGATGACGGTGTCGTCAAATCAAAAATGCCTTCACACTGTCTATTGCATAGGTCGGTGGCACAGCACCTTGAACATAAAACTGACCTTTTTTGCTTTAAACGAAGGGAACGCTTACGTCTGCCAAAAACCGGTACCTTCCCACTTATGGCTTGACATATCTGTAGATAAATATACAATATGATGACATAAATACTTGATCGACATTCTTTTATGTATTAAATACTAGATCATGAAACTAAAACAGTTTAGCAAACATCTGTACATCAAACTATGTGTAATATTAGTGTGCTAGTGACCTAATACGATATATGGTCACTAGCAGACTATGTAAATCATAATATATTTGTGCGTACATTAAGTAAGTTGATGCGTATAGAAAGAGTTAGAAGTTCAACCATATGTGGAAAGGTAGACTGAAAACAACATACATAGTTGATGTTTACGCATACAAGTGATATTGCACGGTTATGTTGAAAATATATGACACAATCGTGAAAACATATATATATATATATATATATATATATATAAGTCTAGAGATTTGCACAACGATACTAATATAAGATGGTATTATACGAAGATGTTGTTAATAAATCGTGTTGACAAATATTTCGGCTTAACAAATAGCCTTCTTCGGTGTCAATTATTTTAACACTTTGTTAAAATAATTGACACCGAAGAAGGCTATTTGTTAAGCCGAAATATTTGTCAACACGATTTATTAACAACATCTTCGTATAATACCATCTTATATTAGTATCGTTGTGCAAATCTCTAGACTTATATAATTTTTTTCCTTATCTGCACAGTATCGTCTATTCTAGACGATCCGGTACATAGTAAATTAGCTGGTTGGTCCTTTTTATAGACTTCTATATATATATATATATATATATATATATATATATATAACAAGTCTAAAAGAGTACAACATCACCATAAAATAACAATAAAATGAACAAATGTTAAATATTTTAGATAACAGATATCCTTCATCAGTATGGATATGATGTAAAATGAATCTATTCTGATTATAAAACTATAACAATCTTGAAATTTATACAATAAAACAGTTAAACCCGAACATCATAGAGACGCTTGTACAATTCTAATTGTTTTGTAAACATGACGTAGGTTATATAACTATTGACAACAGAGTCTGCAAAGATATGCTTTAAAGAAAAATAGTAATGTGCGATATGAACTGGTACAATTCTAAAATTATAATGTGACGACAGTTACGATGTTACAACAACGATTGAGTGGAAATACATTCCCAATAAACAGCACTGACCGATCTAAGCTTGAATAATATTTCAAATTTGACAACGGTAGAGTATTTATAACAGAGGCTGCGTATTCAAACATCCCAAATAAATAGCAGTTTGATAATGATTAGAAAAAAATAATAGTAAATTTTGACTAAGGTTAAATAATTGAACGTGACTGCGTACTTGTACATCCCTCCCAAATGAATAGAACCCTGTAATTTAAACTGGTATAATTAAAAAATTCATTAAAACTGTAAGAGTCCAGTACGGAAGCCTAAGTTACTGGAAACAAGTGATGGTAGGGAAAATGAGTGACTCATTCTATGTTTTTTCATTTATGCCCTCTGAGGAAACTGTCCTTAGCTTTCTTATCCAAAACCTTTCCCGAGAAAGTCTGTCGGTCCTTGACCAACCCTCGTTGTGGTCTATGATTGTGATGGTAAGGTTTTTGAGATCAGCTTGGGCGTGCCCAGGTGATCTCAAATGACGACTTACGGGGAGGTCGGGCTTGCAGGTGTAGTCACTTCGATGACCATTCATGCGTTTGTTGAATGGCTGTTCTGTCCAAAAGACCAAAAAGGTGAAAAGGTATATTTTAACGACCTGCTAGTCAAATGCGTTTTGTTAAAATATACTTTTTCACTTTTTGGGTCTTTTGGAAAATGTTGTTTGTGCTGTATTTAGATCCCTCTACCAAGAAATTAGTTTTGCATGCACACGTATAAAACTTGCGGTTTTTTATCCAACGCAATCATAGGTTTGAACGTTGTTTTCAATTTAGACTTGTTTATATTTTTTCGTTTGGGCTTGTATTATATTTGCCTTCGGGTTTATATAATCCGTTCATCCTATTTCGACTCTTCATGAGTCTATCCTAAATTGAGGTAAATTATATGGCCTTCCAAATACCGTTTCGATTCCTAACATCACTGAAGAGACATTAATTGTCGAAATCCGGATATGGTGTACCAATTTTTGCACCTCATGTTTGCGGTATACCATCTTTTCCGCTTTTCTGTTTGGTATTACATTAACAATTAAGATCCATTTTGTTACATCTGGTGATCCGTTTATTTGGCAATCGCCATGGCAGTCAGCATGGTTTAAGAACATCCGTTGTTCGACCTGCTAGTCAAATGCGTTTTGTTGAAATATACTTTTTCACTTTTTTGGTCTTTTATATATATATATATATATATATATATATATATATATATATATATATAACTCGTCTAAACATCAACCCAACAATGTTAGATCTGTAAATTTGCTTTCCCAAATTTTTTGTTCTTCCCTCGCCGGGATTCGAACTCATGCTACTGAGATATCGTGGCACCAAATCGCCTTGCACTATGCCCGAAGCGCTAGACCACTCGATCACCTAGGCTCTACAAAGCTTTCGGTGGCCGGGTGTTACCTTTCCTCGTCAGTTTTAATCTAGCGTCGTAACACAGTACATGATATATAAGCCATGAAGATGGAATTGTTACAGATCAGCTGAATTATCTATTGTAAAATATATATATATAGAAACGTTGGGTGGGAGCTATATCACCAAAGGGACATAAAAAGAATAACCAAATTGATCTGAGGTCAACTTTGCCTGCACGAGAGAATTTCTTTCTTAATAATTTCTTAATTTATCAACAGATAACTTTATCCGAGTGAAATCAAATCTTAGATAACCAGATCATATTAACCGCGTTGTAAGGACTCCATTTTCAAATTCCTGAATTCTAACAAAAAAGGAATGCTGTACGTGTAGCCGCATGCAACATCCTCACAAAATAAGATAAAATATATTGATTCGGAAAATGAATTGTATTTGTACAAGGCTGCAAGCTTCAAAAATCTTTGTTCCTGTAAATTTCGAACAGAATACAAATACAGCAGATCATTTAAAGTCACTGTACATGCACTTATTGTCTTTATATTGCAATTTAGTGGGTAATTTGGGTAACGGTGTTGCTTAAACATATTGTTAGCTCAATTGTATTGCAATCATTTAGTCTACCAAAGATATGATTTTCCCTAGTTCCCAGTATTACGTATATTAACAATAACGAAGAATGATAAAACATTTTCCAATATTGTTTTGAAATGTTTGGTCTTTCCACCAGTTACTTCATCGAAGTCAGTTAAGGATTAATTGGTGCGAGCGGAGTTAAACGCGAAACACACACACACATAAATATATATTTATAACAGACCGATGTATGTTTGGTTGTAAATGTGTAATTACACAGTCACCTAATTGCAGAATATATTTAAGTCATTATCTTATTATAACTACATACATGTGTGTATGAACACATAGTTTATCTGTCGTTATCTGGATATAGGATTTACCAATAGTGTATCGATTGGAGACCTCAATTATGGACAAAACTGCTGACAAAACACAAGGTACAGTTATTGTTGTTGTATGAGGGTTTCCTGATAGCAAGGCATATCGCTTGTTTGTAAGTGCTATACATTTTTTTCTAAGCTTCACGAGTGTAAATTCTTTAATTTTAGACCTCTTAGAATTATATTACTGTATATTCAACAATTTGTGCGATGTTTACATTATTGCAAACATTGCGACGAAATAGGTTTCGCATAAAATTAAAACTCGCATAATAAAATTTAGAAGCATTATTGTAAGCACCATTTCTGAAATCGCATCAAATAATTTCGCATTTCCATTAAGCCAATCATTTCAATCATACCCAATATGCATTAATTTGCAAGTGGTATACCAGAATAGCGCTTCGAACGCACGAAAGTTGAGATTAACCAGCATGCGTATACCCATAACAGGTATGATTAAAATAAGATTGCCAAACTCCACATTTTCCGCATTTCAACTGGTAAACAGTTTGCTTTTTTTGTATAAACCTTAAACAAGAATTAACTTTTTTGATGATAGTGTTAACTGTTATTTCACCATACAAATTTGGCCAAATGTCAATGAAAGCATTAAAGTTACTATCATCTGCATACATGAGTAGTTTACAGTCTGAGATTATGCTAAAGGACATGTCCTTGGCATAAAATAGAAATATCAGGTAACTAACTACTAAATATTTTTTTCAAAAAATTAAGTTTTGTGAAGAAGCTAATATTTTATGGTTATAAAAAAAAACAATACATTCGGAAACATTTATTAAATTGCTGCACAATAAACCTAGGCATAAGAAACACATGCAAATCACATTTATACAAATTGACTAGAACAATTCTAGTCCTATACAGTCATTTTTAAAGAACTCCAAATATAAAGTACAAAAATATACTGCACACATAGAACATAAACAATATCAGTGTTATATCGGTTTATTAACTTAAGTTAGTCAAAACGCAGAACATTAAGATAAATAAACTATGTCTTCCCTTCACATTAGAGGTCTTATTATGACCTACATTATCATTTGATTCATATTATAAAGGCAACAGTAGTATACCGGTGTTCAAACGTCATAAATCGATTGAGAGAAAACAAATCCGGGTTACAAACTCAAACCAAGGGAAAACACATCAACTATAAGAGGAAAACAACGGAACAAAAGAAACACTGAAGTGCAACAAAAACAAACGCTAATATACATAAAAACGAACTATTTGATAACAACTGCCATATCCTGACTTGGTACAGGACATTTTAAGAAAAAATGGTGGGTTGAACCTGGTTTTATGGCTAGCCAAACCTCCCGCTTATATGACAATGTTAAAAAATATCTATATTATGTAAGTACAAATTAAAGATATCATGCGATAGAATTGGTTATTGAAGTAATCATTGAATAGTCATTAAATTATGCACTGTATTGTTATGCTCTACAAAAGAGCCTTTGTTGATCATGGGAAAAGATTTTTTGCTGACATTTTCAACCTTGACTTAATCAACTTTTTTAATTTCCAGATTCAACCAATCCCTGTTGTGCACAGCGATGGATTCTAGCTTTTATTTTTTCCGCTGGATTTTTCTTTGTTTTCGCCTTGAGAGTTAACTTGAGTGTTGCTTTAGTCTGCATGGTAAAGACAGAGTACCATAACACAACAATTTCAAAGATGACCTCCACGAATGTGTCTGGAGATGCGTGTAGTGAAATTCAAGCTTCAAGTGTGAATTTTAATGAGGCAAGTGCGTATATATGAATTAAAAAATTAAATCAAGATATTCTATTACTGTAGATGTTCACGTTAAGATAAACGAGAAAGGGTTAGTATTGTTTTGAAATGACAATTTTTAACAATTTTAGTTGTAAATCCGTCATTGTCTTAGCATGACAATATTTTGTTTAAAAACCCTCTTTAATTTGACCAAATGAGACTCATCACCGAATCATTACTTACCATGAGCAACACGACGGGTGACACTAGTGATATGCTTACTCTTCCGGAGCGTGACCTGGGTTTTCTTCGGCTTTTGACTTTTAAATGTTCCCTTGTTGTCTTCCGCCTTTTTTAATGTAGAAAACTTTTAACACTTAGTAATCCTACCAAATATATTCAGGGGCGGATCCAGCCATTTTTAAAAGGGGGGTTCAACCATATGTCCCCATTCAAAAGCATTGATCGTAAAACAAAGGGGTTCCAACCCCATGACCCCTCCCACCCAGGATCCGCCACTGATATTTGTTTCAAACTAGACATTCAGTACTATAAAAACAAAGATGAGAAGACACCAAGGGGTATATTCAAAAATGTAATCTAATAGAAACAGAGAACACCATGACTAAAAGAAAATCAACGGAAAAAAGAGTACATTAACAAAGCATTATACAGACTATAATGCATGTAAAACTTATAATGCACGCGCACTGCTATATTCATGTGAGACAGTTAATACATGTATCGTCTTGCGGCTAATCAGGTTACCTATCGTATTGTCTGCGTTTACCTTTACATTTGTATAATTGCAGCATGACCAAAAGTAATTCATATTAAACATGAAGAAATAGAATTAGTTTGCCACGAAGTCGTTTAAACGTACAATACAGATCATAGTGCTAAGTTGATTGATTGGTTACGCATCTCAACACTTAAATCACAATCTCTGTTAAATTTCGAAACGACCAAAGGAAACTTACGTACAAACATGTGGAAATCAGTAGAATATCGAAGAACTGTGTTATTTCGTGATATTTTGTTACTTCCTATACGGTATTGGTTTTGCTCATGGTTAAAGGTCGTAGCTGTAGCTGTTTACATCTTAGTCATTTAGTCTTTGCTGGATACTTTTCTCATTGACAAGAATACCACATCGCAATATTCTATATTAATCGTTTTAACAGTCTCAGGTTTTGTAAATAGTCTATTTCTTCTAAAACGAAACCATATCAGGATAGTGCATGATCGTCTAATACTATGGCATATAAATTATGAACGGGTTGTCTTTCTCACAATTTGAAGGATGCCATAATAAATCGTATTAAAAGTAAGATATCATATAAAGTCAGGAATATTACAGTTGTTTTCCATTCGTTTGGTGTGTTTGAACTTTTGATTTTGCCATTTGATAATGGACTTTCCGTTTTGAATTTTCCTTGGCGTTCGGTATTTTTTTATTATACTTTTTCTTATTTTCTCCTTGTTTGACGTCAGACACGCGAAGTAATGAATGTGATTTTTAATTTGATAGATGCTTTTGTTCTTTTTTGTAAATAATTGTTTGTTTTGATATTGTAACACAGTGATGACTGCTGTACCCATATTTTGACTATTTTATTTATAATGTCTGTTTTGTTCACGCATCGTTGTAAATATAACGGAATTTGATAAGACTGTCGTACAAGTGAGAGGTTTAGCGCTATAAAACCAGGTTCAATCCACCATTTACTACATTTGAAAATGCCTGTACCAAGTCAGGAATATGACAGTTGTTGTCCATTCGTTTGATGTGTTAAGTCATTTGATTTTGCCATGTGATTAGGGACTTACCGATTGAGTTTTCCTCGGAGTTCAGTATTTTTGTGATTTTACTTTTGACATGCACGTGTAAATTTTCCAACATCAAGTTATTTGAGAGAGTAGGAATGGTCTTTATCGCTTCTGTCAGCTTACAACAGTTTTACAGTTATTCGTCAAAACCTAATACTTTAAAAATAAATAAAATTTCTCAGTGTCAAAAAACAAAAATGTTTATTGTTTACTTTATTCTAACCATTAGACGTTCGTTAATCGTCAAGTTGGGCTACTTCGACCCTCGTATTGTGTATAATGCAATGAAACACGCAAGGTATCAACATAGGAACATCTCTACGGGTATTATCGTCATCATATCGAGGAGCGTTTAGCACAATGGTTTTGTCATAGTTGGGTTCCGTTGGACATGATTGTGTTAAGTGTTTTAATGACAAACAATGACAAATATAAGCATTCTGATTTGTTTGCTAAAGGGACCTTTGAACACGAATTCAAGCTGATTACTATCTTTGCTAATATGTAAGTAAGATTGAATTTGTATTATATAGTTAATAATTTGACACAGAATAATGCTAAATTGCGTATGTAAAAAAATTAATAGTTGCTTTCTCGTTTACCAACCATAAAAAAAAAAGATTTGTTTACTGTCTTTTACTTCGCACATTTCGTTCCAAGATACAATTGCCGCCAACATTTCAAAAAAATATCTACTTTTGCACATATTTTGAGATTACTGACAATTCAGTATCATGGTTTGGTTCAGTAGTGTCATGGTTTAGTTCATGTTCGACATGGTTTAGTTCTGTGATTCTTATCGTGTATGAAGGAAAAGTAAAGATGAAAGTAAACATACATTATATAACTACTGAAATACTTTAAAAAAAACTATTTTTTCACGGATACATTTTTTTCGCGTTTAACATAATATTATTCTATCCTATTTCGCGGCACTATATTATCGCCATTTTCTAATGTTGTTTTGTTCATATGCGAATAAATCTAAGATTCACATATTTACGTTGATTACCTACTCGCGAAAAATAAATCGCTCTAGAAAATAAGTAGTTAACGTAGATGACAGCAACTAAAGGTCGCCGTACGACCTTCAACAATGAGCAAAACCCATACCACATAGCAAGCTATAAAAGGCCCCGACAAAATTAAAGGTAAAGCAACTAAAATATAAAACCGAAATGCCTGATTTATGTACAAAGCAACAAATAAAAAACAAACATGATATACAGTAACAAAAGACAGCCCATGCATTACAGGCTATCTTTATATAACATGTAACTTGGAATATAATTTTTTTCAATCATATTTAATATTAAATAATAGATCGACTGAGCTTTTTCTTATTCTCGAAACTTTATTAGATATAAGAAAAAAATTCCAACGGATAAAGCGATATTACACAATACATGTATACAACATGACAACAACGTAATCGTTTTTATTCTTTCGTAAAAATAATTGATAAAAATGGACATTATATTGACCTAATTATACTTTTGAATTGTGGTCTTAAATATATTTAAATTCGGAACTTTGTAAGTAATTGACAACTTATTAAGTTCTTCGAAAATCTTAGGTACACTTTCAACTTAATTTCATTTATAGTTTATTGCATTTTTGCGCCTGTCCCAAGTCAGGAACCTCTAGCCTTTGTTAGTCTTATGTGTTTTTGAATTTTGGTTCATTTATATGTTTCTGAGGTTAGTGTGGCGTCCATTTCGCTGAACTAGTATACATTATTGTTTAGGGGCCAGCTGAAGCCCGCCTCTGGGTGAGGGGTTCTCTTGCTGCGTGGAAGACCTATTGGTGGGTTTGGGCTACATGTTTTCTGCTCTTTGGTTGGGTTGTGGTCTCTTTGACATATTCCCCGTTTCCATTTTCAATTCTATTAGAAAGAAATTTTATAAATGATGTCCATGTTAAAATTTTGTCCCGTGCAGAGACGGTTAAAACCGTGCATGCAGTTATGTTCTATACATTTATCGTTAATAGAAATGTTTTTCTGCTCCCATGCACAACTTTATGGAACATTTGGTTTTTATCTCTTTTTAACTTAAGGGCATACGATACGGTTTTGATCCCACGGTGATTTTTTTACGAAAATTTGCATACAAACTATTTTTCACGTAGTCAATTCAAATATGTAATACAAAATATACCTTCATGTGCTACTTGAAGAGATAAATGGGATCGACATTTTAGACATTTACTCAAAATTTCGTTCTTTTGGATATTTCTATCATTTGGTGGACATACCTAACTTTTTTGTTTCAAAAGATAAACACAAGCGGATTTTTGTAAAATTATTTGGAAAATCTTCTTTGCAGAAGTATGCTCTGAATTTGTATAACAATTCTTTGGAAATAATTAATTTTTATCAAAGTTTCATGATTTTAGAAAAAAAAACGGCATTTTTGCTGTATATTTATCAAATTTAAAAAAAATTTATCGGTGACTTTTTCATAAAAGTTGGTACAAATAATCTTCATACGTAATCAAACCTAATGTCATTTTTTAAAAAGAGGAGTCCATGAACTCGTTTTGAAGTTAAATCAGTCTGAATGATAAAAATCAGTCGAAAACTGGAGGTTGACGTCGCGAAAATCACATTTTACGTAAGCAACGTCATTACCTTCCCTGTAACTGTATCGTATGCCCTTAACCATTTTTTAGACTTCGAAATGTTTAGATGCGGGAATCACTGACAAGTCACAAAAATATTTCAATTTTGTTTTAGATATTCACGAAATAAGGATTTTGAGGGGGACTTGTGCACCTTAGTCTTGTTTGTCCTAAACCATTTTGATTGTCTGTGTTTAATTTATTCACAACTTTATAAATCAGAGGCGATTAAGAGATTCACATATTGTATAGACAGCTGTCTTTTGTTGAACACTGTATGGTGCCCACTCGCTATCGTTTGGTAAGTTTTGTTATTGGGTTATTATATCATTGGCGGGTAACCCCACATCTCTTTTTATTCAACATAGTCCTAATTTGGTTCAAAATAAAAACACAGATGTATAGCTTGCTAGAACACAGGTAAAAAAAATAATTTAAAAATTCGACTAGATGCTACGTTTTGCAACTTTAAATTGACGTTGTTAACCCGTTTGACTAGTGATGCCGCTCACGATATCTATAAATCCCCGACAAAGTCCATCATTGACATACGGAGAAAAATTTCTAGGTGAAACAGAACTAACAATTTCTGTTTTTGTAATTTATTTTACCGAAAGCCAGTTCAAAAGAGCTGTGGTTATATAAATTATATCTTAAAAAACACACGACCAGTAAAAATGTCTAATGTACGGTTTGCCTATTACGGCCACCAAATTTGATTAAAAAGGCATGATTTCTTTTTAGTCAATTAGTAAATTGTGTAACTTCGTTTTTTACAAGCGCCTTCAAACAAATTAACAATATTAAAGTGAAAATATGTATTGATTTGGATCTAAACCATGACAAATTTTATCAAAATCATGGCTCATTCCTGGACATTTCACTGCATGAACCATAAAAATCGCTTAACCAAACCATATCAATTTCGATATTTTGCTTATCCTTCGTTAATTTTTAAAAACAACAATTTCAATGTAGATCGTTTGATTTACTATATAGATTCAAACATCTTATTTGCTTTTTTTTCCTCATTTGAAAAGAACTGATGGAATCGTTCTGGGAAGTAACCTAACCAAACCATGACCAACTGAACCAAACTATGACAAAATCGGTGTACTAAATGCTCCTCTATATGATGACGTTACTCCTCGTGATCTGATCGCTATTTGAAATTAGATGCATTACGTTAGTTTATTTCTGTTTTAGAGAGCAGAATTCGACTGGGATAAGGAAACTAGATCATCTTTACTGTCTGCATTTTTCTATGGCTATATTATTACCCAGATTCCGGGAGGTTGGCTTGCCGATAGGTTTGGGGGTACACGTGTGTTTGGGATCGCAATGGGTGTGTCAGGAATCTGCACTGTGTTGTTACCGGTTTGTGCAAGAACCTCAGTCGTTTTGGTATTTATTCTTCGTGTGATATTAGGACTAGTTCAGGTAAGAGTTCTCAGGTAATACATACATGACATAATTGCGACATTTCTTTCAATTTAATTTTCAATTCAAGAAACACCGTGTAAAATGTGATATCAGCGTGTAAATATATGTTTTTCTGATAACATTTTATATTTTGTATCATATATCTGTATTCAAAATTGCATGTCTGTAAACTACATGTGGATGAGAAATACTTGCGAACAGTGAAAAAAGGAGGGTTTATGAATATGGTTAAAGTTGAAATAATAAATGAATGCTATTTAGCTCCGTTTCGGTTGGCAAAGATTATCTCAGGTGTTTTATATGATTTAAAAAAGGAATATGTGATATGACTGCCACTGAGACAACTATCCACAAGAGACCAACTGAAGTAGATTTTAACAACTATAGGTCACCGCACGGCCTTAAACAATAGGCAAAACCAATAGCGTAAGCTGAACTCGTTTCGAAGTGAATCCATAAGAATTTCTCCAAAGCATACAGTAATAGATAATTCATACAAGCAGCCTGCGTTTTGTATCTTATTCATGCTATCAATTTGCTTCTGTGCTTATTGATATAGTACGAGATTTCAATATTATATCATATAGATATATGTACAATGTGGATTACCTGTGTAAAGGAATATTTTTTAGGGCGTAGTTCATCCGGCGTGTTATTCCTTGTGGGGAAGATGGGCGCCTCGTTTTGAGACAAGCAAATTGCTAGCAGTGTCGTGTGTTGGTAAGAATGTGGATAATTAATTGAAAATATAATATAAAATCGAAGTGAATGTTTAACTTTATATTGGTTTCAATCTAGTATTAAGTATTAGAAAGCCGCATGCTTTAATTACTAGCTACAAATGAAGTAGCGTTGAGTATACGAGTTCTCTGCGATCGGTACTTAGGATCTTTTGTCATTTCAATCCTTTGTAATGGATTGGTACACTTTGTTCTTATGTTGCCTTCCGCTATTTGATGGTTAGTTGCCTCATTGGGATTTTGCCACATCTCCTTTTTCGTACACTGTTTATTGACCCTCTGTCGGATTATTTTGTGTAGTCAGGATTCCATTGAACTTGAATATTGCCCACACTTGTATTAATATACACAACTGGTATTTCATTTGATATGTCTCATTTAAAGACAAATCGTCGACTCTTCCTACTTCACAGTTTAATCACCATTATGATGATTAAGAGTCATAAAGATGGAAATATCTACAAACGTTATAACAATTTGATAACCTGTGGTCGCTTTGTAAAACAATTACAAGACAATTTACTTAATTAAAAATTGAAGCTTCAAATTTTACAGGATCTATCATTGGAATTATAACAACTTTTGCAACCTCTGGTTTGCTATGTGAATATGGTTTTGATAATGGATGGGGCTCGATATTTTATATAACAGGTAAATATATGTCTATAGTTGTTCATTATATATCAACAATAACATTAAGCTCTAAAAAGCTTGTTTGATATCAACTAAACCTTTTTTAACTGGTTTTTGGATAATATTTTTTTGTGTTTATCATTGGTTTTATAAAAAGTTCAGTTATTACTAGAGTTATTATGAGCTGATGCGTTGCAGAAATGATCTACTTTCATCAAAGCTACTAAAAATCATACTTAGATAATATTATTAGTTACACAGTGTGCTAGTGACCTAATACGATATATATGGGGTCAGTAAATTCCATATGGGGTGAGAGCGAAAATTTACTGACCCCATATATATCGTATTAGGTCACTAGCACACTGTGTAACGAATTTATCTTATCGACTATCTTAACATGTGGCCTTTAGACTAATGGCCTATCAAAGTGATCAAGTCTTCAATATAAAGTACCTACTTCCATTGGTCTATACAAAAACAAATGCCAATAATAACAACTTGTTAGCTTTTTATGTGTTTTCTGCATTTCTTTCAATCGTTCATCATCAGTTTCTCTATCTATTGTCCGGGTAAAAAGTTTCAGATTTTTCCTCAATGCCGCGATGTTTTTATAAAGGGACGTAACACCACTACTAACCGTGTATTGAAATAACACCTACTTACCCCATATCAAATATACAGGGTCTCTACGTGGTCACTTTTAATAAATGGTATTCCTAGAAATGTATAGGAGGTAAGATAACAGTCATGTACAAATTAGATAACATGTGTTCGCTATTTTATACAGAGTGGAGGTCAGACAAAAGAGTAGAAAATCAATATTGTTGAAAAAACTGTAAAAATGCGAAAAGTTATAAATATATTCAGGGGTCTTGTTTGTTTTTTTTCTTTAATATTCAAGTTATGGGCATAAGAACGGATACAAGAGAATTGACGGTGATGCATTTCACAATTCAATTTGAATCTGTATTGCCATGAAAAATATACGTGCTATGATAATTTAAACTGTGATATAGATATGTACATTCATCATACATACATGGCTTTTATGCATCGGCCCGGGAATTATCCCGAGACTCTCCGACTGATATGACAAAGGTTAAAAATAAATCTGTTTCTCAAAAAATTCCAATGAGCAAACGAAAAAGTAACACCATATCAGCCAGACCACGACCAATTGTGTGTTGACACTATTTTCTACAAACAAATATTTAATAACAAGAAGACTGTTGAAATGCATTAAAGCCAATGAAATAAGAAAAAAGAAAAACATGGGAGCGCATATATAATTAACAGGGTCAAATTAGTAAAAGAAGGGGGACGATACCAATACCGACAACAGTCCTCAAAACACTACAATGAAAACTAAAGATTGGGTAATACGAAAACTACAAACATCCAGAGATAAACTTAAGTGTTTTGGAAAGGTACGGTTACGGTTATTTTAAAGCACTGAATACATGCAATGATTTAGAGACGACTTCAAACAGCAATGTAGTCAAATACGCAGAGAAATTTGAAATACGATAATTAATAAGTTTCATTTGTTTCTTAGGTGGTCTGTGTTGTTTATGGGTAGTTCTGTGGTTTGTTCAAGTCCGAGATTCCCCTAGTAAACACCCAAGGATTTCTGAAGTAGAAAGATTGTATATCGAGAATAACATTGTATTTGATACAAGAAAAAAGGTAAAAGAAATACAATGATTGATCATCGATAGAGTTGCCCGATAATCGGTGATATGTAGACAAATGAACTATCAAAATAGCGTTCATTCCGAAGTTATCTAGAGTGTTCTGATGTATGTAAAAGTTGTATATTCATTTTATCAATGTTTCGTCATTCAATTTGATTCTGTGATAAACAATGATTAAATGATTTGTTTACATCTAAAACACTGAAAAAGCCCTGTATGTTGGAAATGTTTTTAATCAAGTATTAAATTCAGTTTGCCACAAAATGTGTTAAGAAATTTTTAACTTGTAAAAGTGCAAAATCTGAAGTATGTTTAGTGAAAAAGACTGGTATATCTATAGAGTGTTTGTGTGTATACATAAAATATGGCCCTTAATAGCTTCCAAAAGCAGATCTCGAATTCACAGTGTTTAAAACATTGTCACTTGAAGTTGAAAAACACTGACCTTATGCTGCATATCTATTCATCATAACTTTGTAAAACATCGATAATTGACCATGATCTATCAAACATTTAGCTTTTTGGTCATCTTTAAGCATTTCCGATATTGAATACGATAAAACCTTGTTAACCCACAACGTTTAAACATTAAACTATGATACGGTTGATAAAGAATAAACATGAAAAGAACAAAATACCTTTAAAAAGACTTGGTGGTCCTGCTTTACTACCTGTTTTGAATAAATATTTAAACTTTACGACCAAAGAGATGATTTCAGCTTCCCAATTGCGAACTTTCTATTTCTATGTAGCAACATTCCAGCAGCGCCTGCATACGGAATATATATCTCCCAATTGATACAATATTCCCGGGCTTGTGTTTCCTATCATGATTTCCTTGATTGAGGATTGCTGCTCACAAGGAAGCTATTAAACCAAGAGTTCCAAATGGTGAAGTTGAAATCATCCCTTCGTAAATTTTACGGACGCCATCACGAGTTGGTTGACCGTTATGGAATAACCGTTTCACGGATGATATCGGATATGTTCCTTATGTCGTAACTACAATACCCTTCCCTTTTCACGAATGTGACTTACCGAATTAGACTATTTACCGGATTTGTAATAACATAAGCAACACGACGGGTGCCACATGTGGAACAGGATCTGCTTACCCTTCCGGGGCACCTGAGATCACCCCCAGTTTTTGGTGGGGTTCGTGTTGCTTAGTCTTTAGTTTTCTATGTTGTGTCATCTGTACTATTATTTGTCTTTTTATTTTTGGCCATGGCGTTGTCTGTTTGTTTTCGATCTATGAGTTTGACTGTCCCTCTGGTATCTTTCGTCCCTCTTTTAAGGAATGACTGTAACATTTTTTTCTGTCTATGAAGAAATAACATCAAAAATGTGGTGCACACTGAAAAACCCGCGTAGCGGGTTATTTTAAAGTGTGCACCACATTTTTTATGTTATTTCGAATAGACGGAAAATATATTACAGTCATTTCTTATAATTTAATTCTAAATTCCATTTTAAACCGGAGTAAAACCATGAAAAAACGTTGATAACGTCACTGTCACATGACAAAATTATGTCTATGAGCTGATAAACAAAACAACGTCAGCCAATCAGAAGACGCGTTACCTCCAAAATTAAATTATTCAGGGTTAGTATTAAAGAGACTACTTATTTTATATAAATAAAAAGTTTTCCGATGTTTAAATCTCGTAAATTTATTTTGAATATACAATTCAGATATATAAAGAAACTCACAAGAATTTAAAAACCGAGTGCGTTTGTATTCGTAAACAGGGAAAGCGTCTCTTACATTGCATGTATCGTCCGTCATGCAAATCCAGCCACAGGTAAAATGGACCTATACCAAATAAAAACATCATATATACCAGAATTAAAATTTTATACGCCAGACGCACGTTTGGTCTACAAAAGACTCACCAGTATCGCTTGAATCAAAAAGTTAAAAAGAATAAGACACAATCGCTTCACGTGTATTTACATATCAAACAACACTTCTAGTGTGCTAAAGTGTGACATCATACATTTTTCTCAGAGAATCCGAAAAATTATCTCATATTTCCTGTTATATAACAAACATAGGAAAATAGCAATATTTTTGAACACGTTTTTAACTATAATGCAGAATCTGACAACACCCTGGAAGGACATGGTGAAATCTGCTCCACTATGGGCTTTACTAATATGTCACTCATGTAGCAACTGGGCGGATTACACATTAATGACAAGTTTACCTGCATTTATGAAAGAAGTATTGAGGTTCGACATTAAAAGTGTAAGTATATTAGGTTTATAATTACTAATAACTAATAATAAATATCAGCACAACAATGTTAAATCTGCAAATTTGCGGAAGCAAATTTTTGTTCTTCCCTCGCTGGGATTCGAACTCATGCTACTGGGATATCGAGACAACACCGCCTGCATTATGTCCAGCGCTCTAGACCACTCGGCTACCTAGCCTGAACAAAATTCAGCTTTCGGTGGTCTAGTGTTACCTTTCCTCGTCAGTAGAATCTAGAGTTGTAACTGGTGATCCAATGGATAGATCTGTCGTAGAGTTCTCACTTGTTCTAGAACAAGTTGTTACCTCAGCTCAAACAGCAAATTATAACGTTCATGTTGGTTTCTTGTGAATTCATTTATTTCTTGATTATAAACAAATAAAACGGCATTGATCCGGTATAAGATTTATTGCCACGAAATACGAAATATTCCATTCTTTCATCTTATTGGTTTTGTCATTTTCATGGCTGTGTCACTTTCTTGTTAATGTTTATGATTGTAATACGGGGCTTCCAAGATAGTGATCGTTGCATTTATTAAATACTTCTTCCGTGTCTATAGACTGCAGTTAATTATCGTTGGAATGTTGGTCCTAAATGCTCTTCAACTTCGTACTTTTTTATTTGGCATTCTAGTAGTTAAAAGATATTATTCCAGATACGAACATGTGATCTAAAACAAATCGTCACCGCGTGATCTTTAAACGGAGTGAGACATGTCGACATAGTATCATCCGTCATAACGAATTTTTTGTTCCCGAAACACAATTAATCTTTTTATGCCCCACCTACGATATGTTTTTCGGTCTGTGCGTCCGTTCGTTTGTCCGTCCGTCAGTCCGTTCGTCCGTCTGTCCCGCTTCAGGTTAAAGTTTTTGGTCAAGGTTGTTTTTGATGAAGTTGAAGCCCAATCAACTTGAAACTTAGTACACATGTTCCCTGTGATTTTATATTTCTAATTTTAATGCCAAAATAGAGTTTTGACTCCAAATTCACGGTCAATTAAACATAGAAAATGCGTGTGTCCCGCCTCAGGTTAAAGTTTTTGGTCAAGGTAGTTTTTGATGAAGTTGAAGTCCAATCAACTTGAAACTTAGTACACATATTTCCTATGATATGATCTTTCTAATTTAAATGCCAAATTAGATTTTTGATTCCAATTTCACGGTTCACTGAACATAGAAAATAGTAGTGCGAGTGGGGCATCCGTGTACTATGGACACATTCTTGTTATTTCTAACTATCAAATTTGGTAATGAAACAGGCTTAAATGGTTCAACAATTTGGTTATGTCTTAGGGTAGACTACTTACCTGTTCAACGCCTTTATCATATTGTGGACAGGTTGAATGTATGAAAGGTTGAGAAACTGCGACGCAGTAAATAAACCAATTTGAGTCGGAGACCGTTGAAAATGAAAAATATTTCCTAAGGTCGTCTTACCTCATATATTTTGATTAACTTATTAACAACTGATTCATTTTATTGCCAATTTAGAACGGGGCTCTATCAGCTACTCCATATATATGTTCTTCAATTAGTGTTTTACTGGTAGCTTACTCAGCAGATAGACTTAGAATTAAACACATACTAACAACAACTCAAACAAGGAAAATTTTTCAAAGTATTGGCAAGTAAATATGTTATAATTATTATAATCCATTTTTACTGCAAAACACACCATTGAATTTTGGTCGTAGTGCCATAACCATCGCGACATTAAAACTCATCATTCATCAATATGAGTTTTGGATAAAAAAAAATCATGGAATCATATGTTTATGCCAGCAAAATATATATATATATATATATACTATCGTATGGCTTCCCATTATCATTTTATATTACAAATGTATGTAGATGAAATTGTTTCGTCTCATTAAATGTTGTCTTAAACAATAAAGGCACGGCTAGTTACGATAAAAGGTCGTTTTTATTAAACACGTTGAGTGTGTGTTATTAAGAAACAACAACATTTTTCACCACAGCATCAATACACTAATAATGAAGCAACTTTGGTATTTTGTTATCACTTTTTACATAGTAACAAATATTTTTGCGCAATTTATTATATAGACCTTTAACACATATATTGTGTAATGAGCTGAATTAAATTATTCATTTAGATATATATTTATATATGATTTGGGGTAAACGTCTATTAAAAAGAAACAATAAAAATCAGGAAAGACAATTTGTGGGCTTGATTCGATCTTCAAAAATCATGATTGTCACAATGGACAAGCTTAGATACAATAAATATAAATCATCCAAATTCTACACAAGCTGTGCATACATATATAAAACATACCAAAGATCTGCAGTTAACACACAACTCCGTATTTCCTAATGCCTATGATAACATGAAGATGAGACAAATCGAAATTGACAAATCGAAATCTTATACATATTATATATGCAAAATAAATCTCTATAAAGACAATGATTCAAATATTCATTTACTTCAGCATTTATTGGAGGGTCAATTTTTCTGGTAGCAACTGGATTTGTTCCATGTTCTAAACGGGAGCTTGCAGTGGTTTTTCTTTGCATTGCTGTCTTTTTAAATGGGTTCAATGCCGCTGGATACGGTGCAAATCACATTGATATAGCTCCTAAGTAAGTTAAAATATTTAAAACCAAATGAATATACTAAACAAATGGATATCAACTGCAATTTTAACATATGTATTGCAATAGACTTATGATTTTGCTGTTGTTGAAAAACTTTATAAATAAACTTGCAACATAGAAAGAGTATTCAATTCAAGACAAATGATGATGTTATCTTTAGTATTTCGTGTGTTTTAAAAATACAGTATTTATTGCGATAAGGGTAGTCCGTTTTATATACATGCACATCTTGTACTGTTTAAAGCAATTATATTTATTAAACTGAAATCACAACAATATGTTTAACTGTAAAATCAGCCATATAAACTGTTGTCTAATCTTTTTTATTTAATTTTTCATAGTATGATTAATACATTTGTAATAGTGGTGTTATTTAAATTCTAAACTGCAAAATGCAATTTTAAAGGATAATTCCGATGCTGATAGAAAGATATTAGATTATAATACCTTTTTATCTGCAGGTACGCAGGCCTTCTGATAGGAATAACAAATACTGCTGCAACAATTCCAGGAATTATTTCACCTATGGTTGCTGGCGCTTTGACACCAAATGTGAGTTATAGTTACTATTATGTCCAACCAAATCCTGCGTAGGTTATGATAACTCAACAAAGGTGTTGAAACCATCAATTAATGCAATTTTCTTCATCCTAAATCATGGCAATCTAACTTATTTAAACACCAGACTGTACCAATCATCCATTATGCCTATACGCTACCTGCTGTGATCTAAGTATTCAAAATCAAACATGTGTTACAGAATCTCAATATTGACAACTTCAAGTCTAAACTCCCGAATTGCACCAGTGCAAATTCAAAATTCATATAAAATTTGACTGGCCACGTTATAAATGTTGACATCGACATCGTCATCAACACTTTTCTATTCGAAAATTCTGCCAGCCAATGTGCAAATGTTGCTAAGCACTTGTTCAACATCTATGGTTAATATGTTGTTGTTCCTGCATACAAAGACCCGTACAAAGTCGCTAGTGTTTGTAAATCAAAGGAATAAGGGCTCGATAATTCACTTATAAACTCCCGTGACACTTACTTAAGAATAATTCTTAAACAATCATAGCCTTGGATATGTTCCTCTTGAATTTTAACCAATTTCATTGTCTTCAAAATGCTCAACGAAAAATATTTTTAAGTTATTGACATCTGCAGTGTTTTTATCACCGATCAAAACCGGGCTTTAGAGTGACTGTCAAACTACCTACTCAAGTGGCGGTTTGAATCAGATGTAGATACTATACAATACCAAAAATGTATTATAGTACGTACTTACAATTTGAGTCCCTCTCCTCTCCTCTCAAAACATTTGACTTCTCTGCTTTATATACCAACATCCCTCATTTCAAAAACGTACTGATGTTGGTCAAACTGTGTTTTATAAAATCAAATGACCGACGCACATATATGTATCTTGCTTAAGGAGTGGACAAAACACAATATTTGTAAAAAGATACTCTGATTAAATCAACAAGTACACCTTGCGTACTTCTCTGCCTTTTAATAAAAGTGGCTTCAGCAAAAAAATCAAAAAGCAGGTTAACATATAAATAGAAACTATATATAAGAATAATACATATATGCATGTAATGCTATCTCGGTTGTCAAAATTGTTATCATCATAAAAGATTAAGATCATATTTTAATATGGGAAAAATGGAAATAAATTTCATGCTTTCTTTTAGTCTTCAGCAAAATTAAAAATCTCTGAAAACAAAAGTCTTACCTTGCATATAATAGGTCTAGATCTTAATATATATATTGAAAATGAAATCAACGAATTTCCTTCATATATTTGCTTGATGCAATTAAGTAAAGGCAAAAGTAGTATACCGGTGTTCAAAAGTCATAAATCGATTGAGAGAAAACAATTCCGGGTCACAAACTAAAACCGAGGGAAACAAATCAACCATAAGAGGAAAACAAAGGAACAACAGGAACACTGAAGTGCAACAAAAACAAACGCCAACATACATAGAAACAAACTATTTAATAACAACTGCCATATTCCTGACTTGGTACAGGACATTTTAAGAACAAATTGTGGGTTGAACCTGGTTTTATGGCTAGCCAAACCTCCCGCTTATATGACAATGTTAAAAAATATCGCTAAAATGACAACGCTACGTGACAGAAATACAGCACAAACACACGCAAGAACACTCATCACAGAGAAACGCACAAACAAATAATATAATAGTCGACACAACCTGCAAACCACAGAACAACAACGAACACCTTCCATCAACGACAGACACCACAGGACATCACAAACAGTGACGCACTTACGTAACAAACATGCAATCTCGAACTTTATACAATTATTTTCATAATACCAGTCCATCAATGTTCATGACAATGATGGTATTGAAAGGCAATTTTATTATAATTTGGACTACAAACGATAAGACATAACACATTATACAACCGAAACCATAACAGAAACATAAAAAAAATACTAAATGTTGGATGTACAAAATACTGAGACACGTCGTATAGCAATGCAAATTCACACCCGGTATAACAGTCATATTCGGGAATAGGTCATGTTCGATACTTAGCAGACAGACGACATAGATGTTAAACAACAATCTAAGACGTGGTTTAAATGACATTGTTTGTTTAGACACAGACACATCGTATAGATCAACCAATTCGTGATGGTGTCATTTTTAATCTTTCCTCCTCATAACTCTGTTGGAACAGTTTATTTTACATCTTTTACCAAATCTGAAAATACAGAACTTAATGCAAATAGAAGAAATATTTTGCAACTGCATAACATTCTCTATGAAAACTGTGAAATTTATAATAACTCGGTGGTATCATTAATTTCAATCTTTTGTTCAGTTTAGCAGTAAATGGTTAATTGAAACTTGAGTGAAATTTTTTACGTCTAAGGATCAATTTCTTCGATCTGTTATTTTATGCCAACTGCTATCATCATAATAATAGACCAGCTATCCGGTGGAGACTTGTTCCGATATCGGCGCTTTAGTAGCTAGTAAGTTCTGATTGCAGTTTAATATTGGAATTTAGTAAGCTAGAGAGTTTATCAGAGAATTTCTAGGTGTAACCTCTCTCGAAAAGTAAGCTCTGAAATAAGTGTGCGAAAGGAACTTTAAGATGACTAATGGTTGAGATTGGATACCGAGTTTATTGAAGTATTAAAATTCGTCTGACAGCATTTGTTTACCCTATCTTCGAAGATTTACAAATGTTTCTTTGTGAATTGGTAAATTCAAAGAATAATTTATTATTGAAGGCATGGAAACTAATGATTCATGGCCCCATTGCTTTCTATGTTAAATTCTGCAATTTCAAGCATGCATAGCTATTTTGTCGTTGAAAATAAAGCAACAGTCATTTCAAGTCCAAAAAATTCAATATACCCTTAAATGCATATAAGAGCGCAATGGTCCCCGGATACTTGGTAGTATAAAAACCGGTACATCTGACCTACGTTACAGGAAAATATTCCCTCCTATTCTAGTTTCGTCTATATGTTTTGATATTCAAAAGTCTTTTTTTTTAAAGGGTACAACAGTTATTCCAAGTCATTAAGGTGGTACCAAACACCTTGACTAAAATTAATTTGGCTCGTTTAATTTTCATAAAATTTTGACAAAATATTTACTTTGACCCTTTGACAAAAATATAAAAAAAAATTCCAAAAAACTTGAACCACACACTTTATGGGAAAAATTTCTTTGGATATTTAGTAGTTTGACAAACACTAATTTTGATCAAAGTTATAGCTTTACAAAGGAACTATTTTGTTTTAAATTTGAACTACTTTCTCATTTTTCTTGTATGTTCTTTCTGACCAATCCCGATGTATTGTTCTATACCTGAAAACATTGATTTTAAATAGATCATGTATATTGGCATATTGTTTGTATACATCTATTTTTATATCATTTGTCTTACGATGCAACATTTTGTAATTTGTTTTAGGGTGACCCAGAAGAATGGCGGAATGTATTTTATGTCGCTGCTGGGTTTTATATTACTGGTATGGTGATTTTTGCAATATTTGGAAGTGGAGAAATTCAACCGTGGGCTATGGATAAGGAAATTGAGATCAAAGTATCGTCCAGTCTTTTATTTCCAGTCAATGAAGACAATGATCAACAAGTAGTTCCTGGAAATGGCACAGTCAAACAACGTCTTTTCATTGAAAATAATGACAACCATAATGATTCAGATGATATTCAGAATACAAACCTTAAATAAATTCGTTTTTACTTGGTGGTCATTTTGTTTGCAAATAGACCATCACTATCTATTTCGGAAACTATAAAAAAAACATGTATACCTCATATTGGTTTACTTTGAACCGGATATGATTTAAAGGTTGATGTTACATGTATATCATGATACATATGCATAAACATTTATTTGACAAGTTCTATTTTTTTTTTTTTTGCATTTCAAGTAGAACATGTTATTATCGTGTTAAAAAATACAATTCGAACGAAACATCTCTTGTTCAGCTGCTTCTTATACATTTCTAACAAAAGATTACATGTTTGTTCGGAGCCGGATCCTGATAATTGGAAAATTTGATGCATGGCAACTGTATGTTTGAAAGAATTTTGACGTCATAAAAATGTTTACTAAACATTCTAAATGAAAAAACTAGTCAAAGTTTGATTGAATCATCATACTAATATGACGGTCTTCTTTCGCTTTTGAAACAAAGCCATGTTCTCATTCCAATAGAACATGAGCTGCACGTACGTGTTTGACGTCAATATTGCAACGTCAAATGAATTCTAAACATTTCCGAAGATCAAAATGGACATTTGTGTTGTGAAGGAAATTTAATAAAATCATTCTTAAAGTCAGTTAACATGCATCTGTTCATTTTCTTCCATCGGGAAACGGTTTATTTTCTTAACCGTCTCTTTCAAATCAAAATGCCTTTCGAGCGTGTCTTATTTGATGCGACTGTCATACATGTGAAACGTGTAGCGCTATAAAACCAGGTTCAATCCACCATTTTTACATTTGAAAATGCCTGTACCAAGTCAGGAATATGACAGTTGTTGTCCATTCGTTTGATGTGTTTTATCATTTGATTTTGCCATTTGATTAGGGACTTTCTGTTTTGAATTTCCCTCGTAGTTCAGTATTTTTGTGATTTTACTTTTTATATGTCCGCTCCGGAGTTCAAGAGTTCTGAATTTTTCTTTTAGAATCGAAATAATTCTAACATGCCATCCTCTATAGTCATTTTAACATGGGTAGGCATTATATTTTTTTTTTTTCTTTCGCTCGGTTTAATTATATCGACAAATGTAATGCCTACCCATGTTAAAATGAGCAGAGAACATGACATGAAAAAGTTGTTTCTTTAATCAAATCATATAAGCTTTTTGAATAACGAATTAACAGGAACGAAAAAAGGGGAAAAAATGTATTGCACAACAAAACATCCAGCATTTGAAATTTTAATTCTGAATACACTTGTACATGTATGTTGTAAAAAAACACATTTTTTATTTCAAAACTAGACATACTGAAAACAGCCAACGTTAAAAGATATATTTTGGATTACGAAACAATTTGAATCAATCGTTTTCATTATAACCATGATACTAAACGTATTCTAGCATGTTAAGACTAAAAGACAATTACTTTTAGCTTCACTGATAGTGGGACATAAGATGTATTTTAAGGCAATGAGCGCAGTATAAATGTAAATATGTTTTGACATTACCAAATGAGTCTTAAACAAAATTGGTACTTTCCATGAGCGACTTGACAGGTTCCACAAGTGGAACAGCATATGATTGTCCTTCCGGTGCACACGATATTTCCATCTGTTTGTGTGGGGTTCGGTTTACTCAGAATTTAGTTTATGTAGTGTTACAAGACTAGACTGTTGTTGGTCTTTTTGTCATTTTAAACACGATCAATTACTAGACTAAAGTATGTGTTTCTATTCTGTGATATCTCTCGGATCTCTGCTTCGACTTAAGCTAACATTTATATTTATGAAAATGACTACACCAAAATAGCAATTAAGGAAAGTCATCGTAATAATGAATGCTTCCCATTTAAAGGGAAAGGATAAAATTCCAAGGAAGCAATCAACAACAAAATAATTAAAATACACAGGCCTTATTTCATGTCATGAGATGTGCTTGAAATGGATAATTTACTCACACAACGTATGATTAATATTCAACTGACATGGTTGCTTAAATATAGACAAATATTGCAGGATTTTCTGATTTAGTTCTAAATAAATAAAAAAAAATGCGTAAAAGCTTATCAATGATACCAGGCGTAAATTGGACTGTAGTACACTAGTCGTTCGGTATGTCTACATAGGACTTATCAGTGCCAGTCAAACCAAAATAATTGGAAGGTCAAATGAATAACTTAAGTATTGAAAACAAAAATTTCAAAAAAAGTCTGGCTATGACTTTAAATGTTTGAGGGTAAAACAAATTATAGGTAGTAGATTTACAGATAGTTACAGAAAGCTGGAATAATGTGATAAAATTTTACTACTCGCAAGACAAAACTGTCAAAAAGGACTCCAGTATTTTAACACACATTTTTGAGGTTTCAGTCATTAGTTCCAAAACGGTTCGTCACCATCACGTGTATTAATTAGGATATTTCACCAGTTCTTTCATCATTATCACACATGCAGTAAGTTGATATAGATTATAAGCATATAATGATCACTTAACATTGTTTTTACTGTCAGCTATAGTCATTTGTATTTGACTTTGACTTAAGTTACAATCCAAAGCACATTTTTTTTTTCGACGACATTAATAAAGAAATGATATATACATTAAGTAATTTTTATACACAAGGATCTCCACTGGCGAAAAAAGCAAACATCATGTACATGTACAGTGCATTAAAGGAGTAACCCCAGTAAGAGCCCTTTTTGGCCCCAAAATATAGCAGTTTTACAAAATTGTTAAAATGTAAATTTTCAGCTATTTATTGGAAAGAAGAATTCTTCTGTTACATAAATATGGGCTGTTTTGACAATACAATGCACATGTATCGGGTACTAGCATCATTAAGTCATGCTAAATTACTGAAATCTTCGAAATTTTGGCATTTTGGTTAATTTTTAGACGGTTTCCGTCTGAAATGGAAGTGGCCGCATTTGTGTTCATTCTTAACATTTAAATGTTAGTTGTATTTGATGATAATACATAACATATATCAAGGTTGAGAATGAACACGGATGCGGCCATTTTCATTTTTGACAAAAACCATCTGAAAAGTGACATATTATGACATATTTGATAGATTTTTCATATTTATGCTTGAATTTGAGCGTCTTTAATGACTAAATCAGTTCAAATCTTTCACATAAACGAATTGAATCGACTGAAGTAGACACTTAAGTGTTTAAACAGTGTCCAAAATCTTTCATCAGATGAACCTGAATTTTGAGGCCAAAATCGGCCCTTACCGGACCTACTCCTTTATTATTGTATCTTAGTATCTTTTTTAGTGTCACCTGACAGCGTCTAGTTTGTAAATTCGAGCGTTATTGGAGAAATCTTGAGCGGATTTGGGACATGAGCAAAAATATCTATTGGAAAAAAATGTCAGTTGAAGCAATAATTTTATAGTGAAATTATTTTCAGACAATATTTAATTACTAAAATCAACAATATTGCTTTGATTTCTTTTCACTGTAAAATTATGTCTTTCAAATAAGAAATTTTGTTTTTCTAACGAGCATATTAGATACTTTTTGTTACTTCCTGTCATATTGAGTGTTTAGCACCGTAGAACAGAAATTATTTTCCAAACATTATTTGGTATCATATGAGTGTTGCAAAAACCTGGCCTACAATATAAAAACATTGGACTACTAACATTTATATGCGACATTTAAAGTTAACGTGTTGAATTATCACGGCAGGGAATATAGGTCAGGGATCAGGTGTATATGTGTATATAAACGAACATCCCTTGAATGTCTATTGTTCCTATCTCCAGTTACAAAATGAGGATTAGTCTAGTAATCGCTGTTATTTTTGGTAAGTTGTTAACATTCAACTTTCGGTTAGAAAAAAAATCAGACTGTTCAAAATGACTGTTGCATGACCTTATGTAATATGACCACTTTGAGAATTGATTTGTTTTATCATGTTTTCGAAATTATCCTTGACAATAACTCTTTATAAATTTCGTGTGTCCGAAGTGTTTTATTTGAATTTAACTCAGGAACGCCCAAACTCAGTTTCGAAGAAATTTTTACTGAGCTGAAGATAACCTAGGGTACCAACAATTCACCAGCACAACTATTTACTCAATTTTTAACTAAATGAATATAACACTTTGTAAATTTCATGCGTCCGAAGCGCATTTCTGGATTTAACTTCATTAGGAACGCTCATAAAAACTAGGGATGTTCAGATATGATGAAACGTTATGAGCTATATGACAAAAAGGATTTATCAGAATAGCAAAATTCACCTAGGTCAGCTTTGCCAGAGGGAGTTGGAATCTTAATTTTCTAGTGTTTTTTTTAAGTTATCAACGGGAAATTTTAGAAAACATATGTTATAAATAATGTTAGCACTAATGGAATGACTATTGAGCTTGTGATACCCTTGGGGACTAATATTCCTCAGTAGCGGTATCGAACTACTGCTATACATACTAATGATTTTCTACCCCATGATTTGATTGCCATAGCTGTATTTGGGAAAACCGGTCGGAATTTTGGATCGAAAATGGTCTTTAACTTTGTACTTTATTTGGCTTTTTGAACTTGTTAGAATTGAGCGTCACTGGTGAAACTTCTGTAGACGAAACGCGCGACTGGCGTACAAAATGATTATCATGGTATCTATGATGAGTTTATATACAACCACTGGGTGGATACCACTGCTGGTGGAGGTTTCCTCCCGAAGGTAACACCAGCCCAGTAGTCAGCACTTCTGTGTTTACATGAATCATGATTTATATGGTCATAATTATAAATTGACTGTTAATAAACTTTGTATTTTTCGAAATACTAAGGATTTTTACCCAAGCAACATATTACCTGAGCTGTATTTGGCAACACATTTTGGAATTGTGGGCCGTCAATGCTCTTCAACTTCGTACTTTATTTGGCCTTTTTAACTTTTTTTAATTCCAAATATTTCAATTGCGTAAATATAAAATACAACTTTAAAGGTCATGATTTTATTCCAATGCCGATATTTGAACACACTACTGTTTTTAAGGGTTACGAGTGTCATATCACATTAAATGTTAATCTATACAGGTCGCCAATTTCTTTTATTTCAGTTTATTACTTTTATTGAAATAAAAGACTAAGAAATACAACAAAATTGTATCGCTAATAGTGTTTTATTTCATTTCCAGCTGCTGCATGTGTATGCACTGCATTAGAAACAGAGAGGTAATTTAATCAATGTGATCGAGAGTTAATTTTCACATATATTTGTTAAGGCATAAATCATCTTGACGAAATTTGTTATGGAGGTTTTCTATGTGGCTCTTTTCGCAAAAAGAGGGTTTCAGAAATAGTACTTGTTTTTCTCTCTCTCTCTCTCATTCTTTTATTTACAGGCTGATCTCCAAAGTTTCAAAAGGCTTCTGGGAACAAAAGGAATTTCATGTTTACATATATTACCAAAACGTCTTTTTAAAAAAAGTCATTGATAATGCAGAAGCAAAGATTATGATCCCTCACTTAAAAAAAAATGTATATGCATTGGTAACAATTTAAGTTGTTGTTTTTTCTAGTTTACATTTTAAGTATAAAAGTTTTAAATATCTTCAATGTTATCTTTCTTAAATGTGTTGATTCAAAATCAAAATGGCTCCTTATCAAGTGATTTTTTTTCGCAGAAGATGTTCAAATGTAAAGGTTTGCAAAATATATATAGTTAAGTTAAAATTCATTCGAAAATATTAATTTCCTTTGAAATTATGTATCATCATTTTTTCTTCAAATTTTTTTTCAAACATCAGATATTTTCATTTTTAGGAGTCTAGTTCAAGATGTTCCTATTCAAAATGTATCGAGTAGTTCATTTTGATATAAGATTATGCCTTGCACTTTTACCCAATTTCAATATTCCTCTGCATGTTTCATCTTTTTCCTGAAGTTTCCAAGTGATTTTCTTCTAAGGCTTGATAGTATTCTACGTAATCATTGTTATTTGCTTAAATTCATACGTTTCATCCTTTTGATATTTTTATTCTTATATTTAGTTTTAATACATAGCGTCTGTTCTGCGTTTTGTTTTACAGAGACGTTTTACCTTGTAAAGATCTTTTCGATTTTGAACACTGCTAAAATAAGTTAATTCTTTAATTGTTTCAAAATCAGGGAACTGCATATACATTCCAATTTAAAATTATAGTACATTATTCGATAAAAAAAGGCCATCTTTTATTAGACGTCAAGCTGCCAAATGTGCAAACGGAGAGGCATGTGATTGTGGCGATGGCAATCCCGCAGGACATTGTGATCACAATGGAGTGTGTCATTGTCATCACAGGTAAGTAAAGAAAGATGAGTAAAACCAAGCCAATTCAATAGAATGAAGAACACGCCATTCCAAAGATTTTTTTATATATTTACAAAGCAATTCAATTGTTTTTTTAAATATATTTACTAAGCAGTTCGTTTGTGTTTTTTTTTTTTTTTATATATATTTACTAAGCAATTCGTTTGATTTTTTTATAATTACTAAGCATTTCGATTCATTCAGCTTTTATGTCACTAGTAATTTACATGTTTAACATTTCGTTTCATCATAAAATATTATGCATCCTTAAACTTGTAACATGGACCTTCAAACGTGCTCTTCTGTCGCCTTTTGTCTGTTAGTTTGTAGTTAAATTTGTCGCTGTGGATTGGTTTGTTGTCTTACATTACCGTATGTCTGTATATTTCTTACATTTTGTCTCACTGTATATATTACTACAAGTTAACATTATTTCATAATAAACATGTACCCAGGTAAATACAAAATTTTCTATTAGGTGAACTAAATTCATTTGCATTTTAGACGACAAACGACATGCTCGGAGGGAGGATCGTGCACTTGTGCAAATGGAACACCGGGACACTGCGATCATAATGGAGTATGTCATTGTCATCACAAGTGAGTGTTGGAATCTTTTTCGAATGGTCGTGTTTCAAATATAGATAAGGACTTAACCTTTTTAGAATAACTCTGATCAATCCTAGTTGCAGTTATGAATTATTTCTGTATAACTTTAGTTCTTCACTCTTTCTATAAACACCTAATGTGGTAACATGAATTCTGACTAGATAAATAAGCTGAAAACGATATAAACTTGTTTCTTAGATTTTGTGTAGCCATATATTACAACGGAGCGAGAAACATGGTTATTGATAACTATAATTGTCCATGCAGGTTTCGCTTAAACATAAGAAAAATCCTAGATGTATTCCAAAGTCAATGTCAAAGGATCTAATCATTTGTGAACTCGGACTGTATTTTTTAGGCGACAAGATACATGCAAAGATGCTGGATCTTGCACTTGTGCAAATGGAACACCGGGACACTGCGACCATAATGGAGTATGTCATTGTCATCACAAGTAAGTAGTGTGCTCTTGTTCGAACGTTCTTATCTCAAATATTTATAAGGAATAATCCTTTTAAAATGATTTTGATCAACCTAAGTTGCAGGATTTATAATCTTAAGCCACTTTTTGATTTACTTTTTTTTTTAATTCTTCACTCTTCCAGTAAAAAGTTGACATGGTAACTTGAATACTGGCTAAACAAATAGAAACAAACATAATATAATCTTGTATTGTACTGTTTCGATTCTAGCGTCACATTTGAGTCGTATGTAGTCGGAACATACGTCTGGCGTCTAAAACAATTGGTCTTGTATATTTGATGAGTTTTTTTTTTCTAAGACTTCGTGCAGTCACATATTAAAACAGAGAGAAAAATAGAGTTATTGATAACAAATTATTGTTTATGCCGGAACAACAAATCATTTGGCACAGAATGAGCTCTGTGATTTTAAGAACCGGTTTTACTTTAAAAAAAAATCAATTGCATTACTGTGCATATTCCAAAGTCATTGTCAAAGGATCTAATGATTTGTGAACTCGAATTGTATTTTTTAGACGACAAGATACATGCTCGGATGGTGGGTCTTGCACTTGTGCAAATGGAACACCAGGACACTGCGACCATAATGGAGTATGTCATTGTCATCACAAGTAAGTAGTGTGCTCTTGTTCGAACGATCTTATCTCAATATTTATAAGGAATAATCCTTTTAAAATGATTTTGATCAACCTTATTTGCAGTTTTTAAAATCGAAAGTCACTTTTTGATTCATTTACTTCTCTTTTTTTAAATCTTCACTCTTCCAGTAAAAAGTTGACATGGTAACTTGAATACTGGCTAAAACATAACAGGAACAAACATAATATAATCTTGTTTCTACTGTTTCGATTCTAGCGTCACGTTTGATTCTTATGTAGTCGAAACATGCGTTTAGCGTCCAAAATATTTAGTCTTGTATATTTGATGAGATTTTTTTTGCTAAGACTTCGTGTAGTCACATATTACAACAGAGAGAAGAATAGAGTTATTGATAACAAATTATTGTGTATGCCCGAACAACAACTCGTTTGGCACAGAATGAGCTCTGTGAGTTTTGAGAGCCGGTTTTACTTAAAAAATCAATCGCATTACTGTGCATATTCCAAAGTCAAAGTCAAAGGATCTAATCATTTGTGAACTCGAATTGTATTTCTTAGAAGACAAGATACATGCTCGGATGGTGGGTCTTGCACTTGTGCAAATGGAACACCAGGACACTGCGACCATAATGGAGTATGTCATTGTCATCACAAGTAAGTAGTGTGATCTTGTGTGAACGATCTTATTAAATATTCATAAGGAATAATCCTTTTAAAATGATTTTGATCAACCTTATTTGCAGTTTTTAAAATCTAAAGTCACTTTTTGATTCATTTCCTTCTCTTTTTTTAAATCTTCACTCTTTCAGTAAAAAGTTGACATGGTAACTTGAATATTGGCTAAAACATAACAGGAACAAACATAATATAATCTTGTTTCTACTTTTCGATTCTAGCGTCACGTTTGATTCCTATGTAGTCGGAACATGCGTTTAGCGTCCAAAATATTAAGTCTTGTATATTTGATGAGGTTTTTTTTCCTAAGACTTCGTGTAGTCACATATTACAACAGAGAGTAAAAAATAAAGTTATTTATAACAAATTATTGTTTATGCCTGAACAACAACTCATTTGGCACAGAATGAGGTCTGTGAGTTTTGAGAGCCGGTTTTACTTAAAAAAATCAATCGCATTACTGTGCATATTCCAAAGTCAATGTCAAAGGGTCTAATCATTTATGAACTCGGACTGTATTTTTTAGACGACAAGATACATGCTCGGATGGTGGGTCTTGCACTTGTGCAAATGGAACACCGGGACACTGCGACCATAATGGAGTATGTCATTGTCATCACAAGTAAGTAGTGTGCTCTTGTTCGAATGATCTTATCTGAAATATTTATAAGAAATAATCCTTTTAAATTGATTTTGATCAACATTATTTGCAGTTTTTTAAAATCTTAAGTCACTTTTTGATTTATTTCCTTCTTTTTTTTTAAATCTTCACTCTTCCAGTAAAAACTTAACATGGTAACTTGAATACTGGCAAAAAAATAATAGAAACAAACATAATATAATCTTGTTTCTACTGTTTCGATTCTAGCGTCACATTTGATTCCTATATAGAAGGAACATGCTTTTGGCGTCCAAAATATTAAGTCTTGTAACTTTGATGAGGTTTTTTTTTATCTAAGACTTCGTGCAGTCACATAATTAGAACATAGAGAAAAAATAGCGTTGTTGATAACAAATTATTGTTTATGCCTGAACAACAACTCATTTGGCACAGAATGAGCTCTCTGAGTTTTAAGAGCCGATTTTACCTTAAAAAAATCAATTACATTACACTGAATATTCCAAAGTCAATGTCAAAGGATCTAACCATTTGTAAACTCGACTTGTATTTTTTAGACGACAAGATACATGCTCGGATGGTGGATCTTGCACTTGTGCAAATGGAATACCGGGACACTGCGACCATAATGGAGTATGTCATTGTCATCACAAGTAAGTAGTGTGCTCTTGTTCGAATGATTTTATCTGAAATATTTATAAGAAATAATCCTTTTAAATTGATTTTGATCAACATCATTTGCAGTTTTTAAAATCTTATGTCACTTTTTTATTCATTTCCTTCTTTTTTTTAAATCTTCACTCTTCCAGTAAAAACTTGACATGGTAACTTGAATACTGGCAAAAAAATAATAGAAACAAACATAATATAATCTTGTTTCTACTGTTTCGATTCTAGCGTCACATTTGATTCCTATGTAGAAGGAACATGCTTTTGGCGTCCAAAATATTGTCTTGTATATTTGAAGAAGTTTTTTTTTATCTAAGACTTCGTGCAGTCACATAATTAGAACAAAGAGAAAAATAAGGTTGTTGATAACAAATTATTGTTTATGCCTGAACAACAACTCATTTGGCACAGAATGAGCTCTCTGAGTTTTAAGAGCCGATTTTACCTTAAAAAAATCAATTGCATTACAGTGAATATTCCAAAGTCAATGTCAAAGGATCTAATTATTTGTGAACTCGACTTGTATTTTTTAGACGACAAGATACATGCTCGGATGGTGGGTCTTGCACTTGTGCAAATGGAACACCGGGACACTGCGACCATAATGGAGTATGTCATTGTCATCACAAGTAAGTAGTGTGCTCTTGTTCGAACGATCTTATTTTAAATATTCATAAGGAATAATCCTTTTAAAAAGGTTTTGATCAACCTTATTTGCAGTTTTGAAAATCTTAAGTCACGTTTTGATTCATTTCTTTCTTTTTTTTTTTAATCTTCACTCTTCCAGTAAAAACTTGACATGATAACTTGAATAGTGGCTAAAACATAATAGAAGCAAACATAATATAATCTTGTTTCTAATGTTTTGATTCTAGCGTCACGTTTGATTCCTATGTAGTCGGAACATGCGTCTGGCGTCCAAAATAATAAGTCTTGTATATTTGAAGAGTTTTTATAAGACTTCGTGCAGTAACATATTACAAGAGAGAGAAAAATAAAGTTATTGATATCAAATTAAAGTTTATTCCTGAACAACAACTCAGTTGACACAGAATGAGCTCTGTGAGTTTTGAGAGCCGGTTGGACTTTAAAAATCAATTGCATTGCTGTTCATATTCCAAAGTCAATGTCAAAGAATCTGATCATTTGTGAACTCGAATTGTATTTTTTAGACGACAAGATGCATGCTCGGATGGTGGGTCTTGCACTTGTGCAAATGGAACACCGGGACACTGCGACCATAATGGAGTATGTCATTGTCATCACAAGTAAGTAGTGTGATCTTGTTCGAACGATCTTATCTCAAATATTCATAAGGAATAATCCTTTTAAAATGATTTTGATCAACCTTAATAGCAGTTTTTAAAATCTTAAGTCACTTTTTGATTCATTTCCTTTTTTTTTAAATCTTCACTCTCCAGTAAAAAGTTGACACGGTAATTTGAATACTGGCTAAAACATAATAGGAACAAACATAATATAATCTTGTTTCTACTGTTTCGATTCTAGCGTCACGTTTGATTCTTATGTAGTCGGAACATGAGTTCTGCGTCCAAAATATTTTGTCTTGTATATTTGATGAAGTTTTTTTCCCTAAGACTTCGTGTAGTCACATATTACAACAGAGAGTAAAAAAAAGAGTTATTGATGACAAATTATTGTTTATGCCCGAACAACAACTCGTTTGGCACAGAATGAGCTCTGTGAGTTTTGGGAGCCGGTTTTACTTTAAAAAAATCAATCGCATTACTGTGCATATTCCAAAGTCAACGTCAAAGGATCTAATCATTTGTGAACTCGGATTGTATTTTTTAGACGACAAGATACATGCTCGGATGGTGGGTCTTGCACTTGTGCAAATGGAACACCGGGACACTGCGACCATAATGGAGTATGTCATTGTCATCACAAGTAAGTAGTGTGCTCTTCTTCGAACGATCTTATTTTAAATATTTAAAAGGAATAATCCTTTTAAAATGATTTTGATCAACCTTATTTGCAATTTTTAAAATCTTAAGTCATGTTTTGATTCATTTCCTTCTTTTTTTTAAATCTTCACTCTTAAAAACTTGACATGGTAACTTGAATACTGGCTAAAACATAATAGGAACAAACATAATATAATCTTGTTTCTACTGTTTCGATTCTAGCATCACGTTTGATTCCTATGGAACATGCGTCTGGCGTCCAAAATATTTAATCTTGTATATTTGATGAGTATTTTTTCTAAGATTTCGTGCAGTCACATATTACAACAGAGAGAAAAATAGAGTTATTGATAACAAATTATTGTATATAGATATAAAGAAGATGTAATTTGAGTGCCAATAAGACAACTCTCCATCCAAGTCACAATTTGTAAAATGTAAACCATTATAGATCAAAGTACGGCCTTCAACACGGAGCCTTGGCTCACACCGAACAGCAAGCAATAAAGGGCCCCAAAAATGTGAAAAACAATTCAGACAGGAAAACTAACGGTCTAATCTAGATATATCTCCCCGATATAGACATTCTCATAATCTGTTCGATGATTACTTAATGTTCATTGTTAAACGTTAGTGTCAATTAAGAAATTCACGCCAAGTAGTTATGCAACACAAATAATAAAAATGGTATAAATGTACCTGGAATGAATTTAAGTAATATTACCAACAATATTTTACTTATAAAAAGGTCTGCAGAACCCCCATAAAAAACTTATGACTAATTCCTAAAATAACATAATATGATATATGCTCATTTATACATTTCAATTTTTTTTTATAGATGAAGGATGTCACAAAGGAAAACTTTTTGAACAATACCACTATCTTCAGATATATAATAAAATAAAATACAACAACTTTGTTTGTTCAAAACCTCTTAATGAAAGTGCTCAAGTGTTCTTAATTCAATATCAAAGAGGAGAAATCTGAAGCTTGAGGAAAGCTGTGGACGACGTTAAAAAATTATTGAAGACAAGTGTAACGATTTTAAGTGCGGGACAGGACGTCATTGTAAAGGTGTTTTGTACTTCACCTAAAACACTCCCTGCTGTTTATTTGCCAAATTACTTAAAACAAAAACAAAAGAATTCAATCTAGCATGACGTGCGACCTTTTTCCCTTCCATCATATACCACTCCTGCGTCAATAATTTGAGTCGTAATACTCTGCGATATCTAATAATGGTTGTTTAAAGCATCATTCAAATTTACGTTAAGCTAGTTTTCATCTAGATCTACAATTGAGCTTCCAAAAATAAAATTTAACAAATTAAATAAATAAAAAATGTCTATTTTGCTTCCTTGTATATTCAATATTGTTATATAGAATAGAGCGCTATCAACAAGATCATGAATACATGGAATAGGAAACTGAGTCTATGAAAGCTTTTTGTATCATTATTATTCAATTCAATTGTCTGTACTAAGTCAGAACTATGACAGTGGTTTTCCATTCGTTCGATGTGTATGAGCTTTTGAATTTGCCCTTGATAAGGTACTTTTTGTTTTTAATTTTCCTTGGACCTCGGTGCTTTTATTATTTTACTTTTAAATAAAGCCTAATCTTCAAATCTATACTATTAAATTTGTAGACCAAAATTTTTTAGCCGGTTTGTCTCCGAGCCGACGATCGTCTGAAGTATTATATAATAATAAATAGTTAGTGTATGTAATGTACTTTATAATTTCATATAGTAATTGCTTTAATTAGCGTAGCTTAATTAATTAAACCCCAAATAAAGTTCCGTAGCTGGTTCCTTACCGTCTACGTTTTGTAAGCAGGCGGAAATTGTTTTGTATTCAATTTGTCTTGAATTCATGACAACTGGGCTCACGGCCAACTCGAACCACTCAAACACTCTCACTAGTTATTACAACTTGCATCACTTTATCAAAATCGCACCACTAAAAAAGAAATATACCAAAATCGAAGAAATGTTTTTACTCATTAGATTGTTTTCTTCTTCTCTTAGTAAATTCCTCCTGTCTCGGAACACCCGTGTCACACAGAGACAGAACTCGCACAACTCAAAAAATATACTACAAACTCGCACCACTGAAGAAATGTTTTAAATCATCAGAGAGTTCTAGATTGTCTTCTCTTAGTTATTTCCTCCGTTCTTGGAGCACCCGTATCCCACAGAGACAGAACTTGACTCGTACCTTTCGAAAAAAATAAATACTACAAACTAGCACCGCTAAGATGTGTTTTAATCATCAGTGTTCTAGGTTGTCTTCTTTTCTCTGAGTTATTTCTTCCGTTTCAAGTGCATCTGTGTAACACCGAGACAGCAGCTACTATTTGGAATTCAAACTCATATGGAAGAAGAACTGACAAACTAATCAAAACTATCAACATAATGCATCAGTGCATTAAAACAGTTTGAGAAACACGAACCCAAGCTGTGTATCACCATAAACATTTCAAGTAGTCTTCAAGACGCGCTCGCGCGGGTTTTTTCTAGTGTTTTTTTTTAATTTTCAATTACAGAATACACAATGAACAAAATATAAAGGAAAGTGTTCAGCCTATTTTTGTTTCTTTTTTATTCGAACTAAACATACAACAATCAATTCAAGAAAATGCTAGCAAGATCAGGTATTGAGATGAATACGTTCTTTATTCGACTATAAGGATTCAGTAGTAGATATGATAAAACCTTTTTGACTATTTACAGCAGTATCAAATTCGTATGTAAAAACTAATGTCAGTTAAGTATCAGTCAAAACTCAGTAAATCTGACACACAGAGCTAAGATTTCTGTACATGTAATCATCGTGCCATCGATATGCTTGTGATTTCTTTATAAGAAGAGTAACTTCATATGGTTTTAGATCTGGTTGGTGTCCATGCTCATTCCAATTGAAATATTCAAGTATTTCGCCATTGTTGTATCTCCATGTGTTTCCAGAGTCACGTATGCCTTGAATCCTTACTCCACCGTCGTGTATTTGTGCTGAAGTGTATTGAGTGGAATAAAAAATAAAAATATATCCATAAATTTACATGTAAAATTACATACATGTACGATACCAATTTTAGTGTGCAGTAACCGTGTATTTTCATCAGATGCTTTTATTGGTCCCCATACTTTTTGGGGACCGTCCGATCTATAGACGGACAAACGTGTTTGCCCTCGGCGTAATGATGAGTTATTAGTTAAATTCAAAAAAGAATACTTAGTAAAACTGCTAAAAGAGAGATTACGAGGGTGCTGATCCCAAATTCACCAGAAAATAAATCCCAAATCCCAAATTCATTGGAAACAAATGTACCCGTTCCTGCATCTCGATATAATTAAATTTTAAATTCCCAATGATTCAATTTGCTATAATTCCCGAATTCCTGTGATTTAAACAGCTCAATCCATCCTGAACTCCCAAAAAAAGGACATTCCATCCCCCTGTTTACACCAACATTTGTATCCATCATGCTTGAAATTAATTTAAACAGCATACTCAATATTAATCCAAAGTCTGTTGAGGTTAATTTATAACAATGCTTTAAACCTCTCAAGCATTTTGGCTTTCCAGACTTTCTGTCTGGGACGTACCTAATAAAAGTTATTCAAATATCATTCGTTTTGTTTTGGGATTTGTCTAATTAACTGCTTTATAAATTATGTAATGGTTACAACCCATGAAATGTTAAGTACCCTTTTCAAATTTGACTATAGATAGTCTAGGCTATTTTCTAATGAATCAACATATAATTTTGTTTTCTTAACCACTTTTATACCGCGAAACTTACTAACATGACTAGCATGGGCAACACGACGGATGTCACATGTGGAACAGGATTTGTTTACCCTTCCGGAGAACCTGAGATGACCCCAAGTTTTTGGTGGGGTTCATGTTGTTCAGTCTTTAGTTTTCTATGTTGTATTTTGTGTGCTATTGTTTGTCTGTTGTTCTTTTTCTTTTTTAGCCATGGCGTTGTCAGTTTATTTTCTACTTGTGAGTTTGAAGATTCCTTTGGTATCTTTCGCCCCTCTTTTACTGAGACATGACTTGAGGTGTATTCTAACATTCTGTGCGAAACTGAATAGATATGTGCCAGTGAAAAAGTTGCTTAATGTATATCAATGCTCTGCAATCAATGCATATATTTGATAAGCTAACTTGTGTTTTTATTTAGACTCGGTATAATTGAGAGCTTTACACCTTGTTAAGACGCCTGTCTATCATTAACTGTGTGATTTAGAGCTGACACATTTTTTAGACGACTGTCTATTATTGACGACATTTTAATATTTTTAGGTCATTTGGTTTTTGTCTCAATTACGTATACAAGACATATCCTTTTGTACACACACTACTCTACACGTAGTTCCGAGATAGTCTGTTTCTCCGTGTCCGATTTCCTTTCACATACAATAGTCATGTGATAACGTCATATATCAATACAGTGTCAGCTTGATAAAAACATCAATTCATGGTTGATGTCATCTAATGGTAGGTTTTAAAAAGGGTGAAGAGTTCAAAATAACATGAATAAAGAAGTGTGATCAAATATTTAAATTGAAAATCTAATCTAATACTTCCATTTACTTAATGCACCTGTGTAAAAGTAAAAAAACTATAATCTCTGTAACATTTTTGTTTATAAAATGAAACGAAGATAATTACAAGGTTCCAGGTTGTTTCTTGAGTTAATGAATGTAACTCGACACATTTTGCTCACATAGTCTTAAACGACATCAAATAAAGGATTTGAACATTTCTGGAATGAAGTGGTAAAAATTCAATATAAATACCTAATATTTGTTCCAGTATATGTTGAATAAGTCCTCTGTTTACTTTAGCCAAATAACTGTTGTATGAAGCACAACTGTCCACAGCACCTTGGTAGTCCAGTTTTTTTGGTACGTAACGATAGCAGAAACAAGCTCCTTTTACATAGTCGAATCCATTGTGTGAAAGGCATTTGTGTTTTGTAATGCTACATTCTAACAACAAAGTAAAATTAAGAATCATAATGATTACAGCCAGTTTTGACATGATGTCATTTACGTACACAAATAACAAAACATATAATAGGAAAACCATAGATAATGTAAGTCTTATTTGATTTCAGCTACATTTCAACCAGTTATATAATTTCATCTGAATCATTATAATAAAAAAGATTTTCTATTCGATCCTTTGATTTTGATATAGTTTAAATAATATTCCTGTTGGAATAACTTCAACAATAGCGATTATAAAAGTTATCATCTCCCTAAAGGTAACATTTTACACACATGTAAGCCTTGTGGCAATGCATTGAAAAAAATAGTTTTAACAATGATACCCTAAGAATGAATGTAGCAGACATATTCTTAAATTGACATCGTAGTTTCAGAGAAGACTTTTATAAACGGTTGCCATGTAATGAAAAAACCCACACAGACCATTGGTCAGGTGACATAAAAAGTGATGTTTCCAATTAAGCTTTGTACAGTGATATTATATAACAATCACTGCATTTTAACTTTTCATTCTGTCTCATTGTCTTAATCAACTTAGTGGTAAAGGCTGCAATTATACTGCTGTTGTTCAATGACATTGTTTGGTAATTGCAGACACCAATTCGCTTATATTTTATGTTCTTTTATGCAATTTTTGAAAATTGAGGGTTGAGATCTGAAAAATCAATATTTTATGATTACCCCTCCCATTGACATGTGCCTTTACAGAGTTGGGAAGCATGTCTGCAGTTTTCTCGTATCGCATCTTTATCAGTTTAGTGTGTGTTATTTGCAAAGTTTGGTGTTGGTCACAGCTTTTATGTACTCAGGACGATCTAGGGCATATTTCCATTCAAATGTAAGCTACTGTCTTAATTGTATATACTCCATAATCCTCTATCAATTAACGGATGCTGGTATTTATCTTTATATCCCAGACACTTAAACGTTCATCATTTGCCGGCCTGGGTAGAGTATTAGTTTCCATCAACGTTATAATTAAGAAAATTTGACATTATGATGTTGTTCGCTGTGTTGTTACTTCAGCAATGATATTTTCAGGGCAAAACCATTTAATCGTGTTGGTTCATATGTAAATTGTTTGTCCTCGCAACTTCCTTTACAGTTTTAAGCTCGAACATATCTAAGATGAAAAACATATTTATATGTTCGTATATTTTTGTTCTTAATTTGTTTATATTAAACGTTTCATGCAAACTATAGTTTAAGTCTTGCATCTCATGAATGACAAAACTTGTCAGAAATTAAAACTTCTAAATATATTTTTGCAAATATTCGGTGTTTTGTATATCAATAATTTCGTTGTCCCCAGTTGCAAAGCAATTTTCATTTATATCAACAAACCATTGGACGAGTTTGAAAAGCCTTACAAATGAACTTCTTTTCATATGAAAAATGTCCCATTGAAATATAACTAACATGTTAAATATAATGAAAGTACTTGCAAACATATCTCGATGGATTTAGATATATATTAACTACTAAAGGTTCATATAAGCTTTATCAACGAGTTCGATAATCAGTGACGAGCAATTTTTTTAACATGAGTGATGCCCTTGAAAAAAGAGATTAAATGAAAAATTGCATTGTAAGCAGTATCGCGCTTTAATTTCGTTAAGAAATTGTTTTAAAAGAAATAATAAAACCATATGCTTACCTCTGATAAGGTAGTAATAGCTCCATCCAGCTTCTGTTAAAATGTTATCAATTCGAATGAAATCTTCGCCCCATAACTGGCATATATGTGTTTTGTTGTTATAGGAATATGATAGACAATGCACATTGTCAACACAAAGGATGCTACAGCTCATCACAGATGCGCATTGGCCAATGTTGAGATTTTGTTTTGTAAGCTTCAAATCGGTAAAACCGGTATTTTTTATACCAATACCAGTTCGTAATAATATGCAGTGTATGGACTGCTTGTAAATCAAGAGAACACAGAAAACGTCCAAAACTTTCATACTTCACTGTTAACTTTCGAAGGTTTCGGGGAATGCGTACTGATGCAACATAATCAAAAATGTAAGTTTGATAAGGAGCATTGATTGTTTTTGTCTCTGTGCCAACAATGCTTTATATGTATTCAATTTGATATCGGTGCATTTATGATACTAGAAATCCTAAGATCATTTCTAAATACCTGAACAACTAGGCAATTTATAAAAAAATCAGTAATGTATGTTTAATGTAAGGACAAATTTAATTATCTACAAGTGCCAACTTTATAGTATATTCATTAATATTCTTTCTTTTCTGTGCATTCCTTTTTGTAACTTCAGTCGCTGCTTGATCATGGTAAGGGCAGATTTATACAAACTGATTTCAAGTTAATAATCGGGAAAACTTATTAAACGAAGATTACCTCTGTAAATAAAATATACTGGCTATATAAAAACTTCCTGACGTTTTTTAATATTAAAAGTATTTATTGATAATGGCTCAAAATGGTCTTTTATAGAATAATCTAAATTAAACAAATTGTTATTAATTTGTTAAATTTTATGCATGCTTCCGCTAGTGGCAGGAATATAACGAGTAAACGATGTCGGTCATTCCGTTTTTCTTAATCAAACAGATGTCAAACATATTTTTTTCTGTCTGTATGTAAATATTGTTCCTTCCGTTACATCTGTGTTTATTCCCGAATTATCGTACGGCATCTTTAGTTTTCTATATAGTGTTTTGGTGCTTTTTTTGTCTAATGTGGCTTTATTACGAAATCTGTTTTTCTGCGGCATTTAATTTACCTCTTTGTATTTTTTTCACCTTTTTTTTCAAGGACAAAGTCGCCTTGCTCCCTTTTCCATTATTATCAAGTATGTTCCGGATATCTATGACTAAACTATTAGCGTGTAAACGGTTTTAGCATTATAACAATGCATTGCAATTGTGAAACTGGTCTTTCATTTCATTTATAAGTCTGGATTTGCATGAGAAATAACGTCTATAAATTGTGAGCAACGTTACAAGCCTTGGTACTTAATTCTAATCAGTTTACCTTATCACAATAATAAGACAGACATTTTACTGAAAATAAATTAGTGTTCGACAATGGACCATAAAAATATCGGATTATTTAACATTATTTATAATCTTTTGATTTTCAACTGCATATGTAAAAAAAACAATCAGAGTGTCATGAAATAAAATTTATAAATTATTAAACTATTTAGTCGGTGTCATATTATGGCTACTCAAATGTCCCCCTATACATTTATTGGGGTCTGACCATTTCCACAATTGAAGGTTTGACAAAGTTATTGATGATCGTTTATTTATTTTGTTAAAATTTTAACCACGGACTGAAGTTAAATGTTGACTACGCCGCCGCGGACGACGGAACCCTGGATCGCTATGTCTCCCTTCCGCGACAAGTCTTAAGACAGGCTCACAGGTTCGACAAATATGATCTATGTAATATGATTTTGTGCCTCGCAATTCTTGTCAGCCAATCAAAATAACGGATTCTAATGAAACATAGATGTAATGTAGTTATAGTCAATGAAACAGTGGTGAAAAGGGTCTATAATTTAAAATTTATTAAATGTATATGTTGTATACAGATATGAATGGTGGTCAAAAATGATTAGGGTTTTTGTGGCTTGAATAAAGATTTGACAAAACCTATGAGTAAAATTGCCTTTAAAAGTTTAATTCTGCCAATTGCAACATGTTAATACAATTATGAAGACATGAAAGTTGACATACGCACCGGAACTGAAGTGTCTAGATTAACACATCCTGTACATTCACATATAAAATAAACCTAACGTAGAAACGATTGAAAATGTTTACGATTTTTGAGTTTTCATGTGCCTTTTATTGACTTTCATTATCTTTCTCGATTTGATGACAAAATGGGCAGGTTAAATTTTCACTGTGTATAATTTTCGCTGAATGGGAAAATACACGCGAAAACATAACTGTATCGTATTGTAAAACATAAACTTAATTAACTAACAGTTAATCGATATCAAATAAATATGAGTACTACAAACGAAAATACACTTTAAAGGAACGTAAAACATGTACATTGGGTATGCTAAAAGTTGAAGGTTTTGATCATATCAGGTATACAAATATCCGTGGTAATGTGATTTATCTTATTTTTACATTATATGCAAAATTTTCTGGTTATAACACCAATCAATAGAGCGTCGTTAATTAACATTATTTAACATGTCACTGATTGCTGTGTTGTCAAAATGTGTGACATGTAGGATTAGCAAATTTAAATATTGTGAAAACAGAGATATTAATTAAGTATGCATATTCTTGTGATCTGTCGAAAAACACAAAAGACTCGATAAATAACAGTAAAATGTATAAAACTTTCAAACAACGATAAAGTTTGGAATATGAAGGGAAATTTACGTGGGGTCAAATTTTCGCGTTTCTTTGGCTGCCGCGAACAAAGCGAAAATTAAACACACGCGAAAAAAACCCGATATACGGTATCTCCTTCTTTAACACATACTACAAAACATCTACTATCAACATATAATTCTTAAAATAGTCATTGAATTAAGATACGACAGAGAAAAACACTGAGCGGGACCGTTGGCCAGTGAATCAATAATACATCTGGTTCGACCTCTACGGAATATATGCGTCAAAAATTACTACATTTATATTCTTGGTGTCATAAACACAGTTCCATTTCTTTTGATCGTTCGTTATTTATTTTTAAATATAACTAAACATCATATGTTTACCTGTCCCAACAAGGAAAAAATAAACGTCTTCTGTTCACTTGTTACGACAGGTAAAACAAATAGAGCAGGAATTTCTATTCTTCCAGAGCACACATATTCACCATTGGAGTTCATGTTGCTCAGTACAAAATTTTCATGTACTTTTTTTCGCTTTTCCTTTTACTGGTGGTCTTGTCTGTGCTATAATTAAATAATTTTACTTTTCACCGTGGTAGATTCTTATATTTTACATAAAAATCGATTTACAAAGCGTCCCAAATATTACCTAAAATTATCAAAGAAAAAGTTGGTCACTCAATAGTCATTTTACAACAATACATTACGAAACAGAATCGTCAATTGTTTTCAGGTTATCTGACACACAACTCCATATTTTTCATATGTGTTAAAATCATGCCAACGATATTCACGTGATTTTCTGATTAACAGATAGATTTCATTTGCATTTCGAGATGATTGGCCGCTTTGTTTATTCCAGTTGAAATATTTAATCAAATCTTTATTATCATATACAAAGTTACTAGTCTCGATCATCTAGCCGCTTTATTTTTCAAAGTAATCGAGACTACAAAGTTACACGAAACAAACGTTTCTTTACAACAACACATTTTACCTCCTCTAAATAATCCTACTTACTATTATAAATATTTGTTCGGTTATGGATCTACATATGTAATTCAAAATTTAGAAATTTAGAAAAGTGAAGAAACAGTGCCCAAGTGTTTACTTTGTTTTAAAATTTTACAAAATGAATGCCAGTAAGACTTCTACTCTTCATTATAGCACCATTAATTGATGGTGAAGTTAGAATTCAAGGTGTACTCGACAGTGGAGCAACAACGTGGAGTTATAAGGACATCTTTAGTTTTAAATAAGGATTATCTTATCTTATCTTTATTTGGTGTGTAAGTGAGTGCTCCAATATATAACCTCAATAAACTCCTCCAAAAAGCCCTTATTACTAGTATTTGTTTTAAATCGGATCAATTACGGATTATAGAAATGCGTTGATTCAAATAGATAAAACGAGCTACATTTTATTTTGTGTTATTTTTGATAGCATTATAAACTTTCAAAGGTTATTCATACTACCAATAGTTTCCTAGAATTTCAGATTTAGAATATACAACTTTCAACAGTACAAATCTTGATGCACAAAATGTGAATATTGACAAATTATGTCTCTTAAATTGTGATACGGTGCAAGATGTTAGCGTGTTAAAATCCATATACAATAATAAAGACCCCAAAAAACTAGAAAAAGGAACATTACTGTAACCAGGTTCCCATTGGATTAGTTAATTAGTACATATCGTTTCTTTAAACTATAAAACGAGTGGTTTTTTTTATTTCAAAATAATTTAAATGTAAAGTGTCCTTGAACACTTCATATGTATGCATTAATATAAATTATGAAAAAATACAGATATTGAATGACAGCTGTTTCTATTATAAAATTTGAATACCTAACATATGCTCCAATGTGAGTTGAACAAGTCCTCTGTTTACTTTTGCCAGATAGCTCTTTTACGACGTACACTTATCCACCGAGTCCTGGTAGAGCAACTTTGTTGATTCATAACGATAGCAAAAGCATACTCCTGGTATATGGGAGAATCCACTGTTCGAATGACATCTTTCTTTTGTAATTCTGCATTCTAAAGACAATAGAAATATAAACATCCGGTATCACTTTCCGTGCATCTCAATACCTTTAAAATGGACTCCAAAAATAACATGTTACACAACGATTAAAAATACCATCCATTTATTACAAATCAAATGCATGATTGTATTCTTAGCAATTCGTTCCCAATGAGTAACGCACTCTTGCCCAATATGTATAGACGTATTTACACTTGTATGCAAATTTGTCCGCCATTACTTAAAATCACACAAGTTCCCGTAAATTTGAAATCACAATTTAAATAAAAAATTTGATGTCATAATTAAAAAGTGATTGTTGCTTGACGCCAGAAGGTTATTCGGAGACAGATCTAAGGTCATTTGAAAACAAAATTCAGCTAAATACCAAAAGTGTAAATACGTTTATTGACCGTTGTTCTTTCAAACTAAATTTTGAGCGTTGTACAATGTTTCAATAAATGGCCTACTATCT